CTTCAGTGAGCCAAAGGGGCTCCCCACAGAAAAGGTGATTTTCACCCTGAGACAAGGGCACAGAGCAACCTTCAAACTCGCACAAGGTGAGGTGGAACTCAGAAGATGCATCCATTGGTCAACCGAGCCCCGATGGGGTTTTCCAGGGCTGTCTGCTGCGGTAAGCCTAGGCAAGATACTGCTAAGCCGGTTAAACCCAAAAACTAATCAATGGGGATGAGATAAAAACTGAACCAGGAACTAAGTAAGCTCTCTTACTAGGAATGGTTGAGGGTCACAGGGTTAACAACACTGCAAACCAGACATGATGGCTCATCTCATTGAAACTTAAAATACTGATCAATTTAAATAATAATAAATAAATAAATGTTTATTCAGGTAAAAGTATATACATACAAGATGAGTTACAAACAGAATGTTGAATTTCTAGACAGAGCTAGTACATACTATGCCTCAAACCACTAATATGCACAGCATTTCGAGCAAGCTGTGGGAAAAACACTTGGACAAAAACTTAAAACTAATTGAGATCAGTATTTGGAGAATACTGATCCGGACACCTTCAAAAGGTCAGATGTACCACAAACAATGAGCAACAGTTTCAAGCTTAAGCCACAATGTAGGACAGAAAACTTGAGATACTTTTTCACCCATAAGGTTATAAACCCATGGAACCACCTACCCCACCAAAGTCATAAATATCAAAACACTGCTGAATTTTAAGATCCAGCTCAATAAAATCATCACGATAAAATCAGCTCAATAAAACACTCAATGGGGGACCTTTGACAAGCTGCTGGCTTCATGTCCTCATTGAAGCCACTAGACAGATGGTGGCCTTCAGGTAAATTCAGGAAGACATACAGTGTACAACACATATGAATATACTGTATATGATTACATAAAAAGCCTTATCAGCTCTTAAATAACCTAAATCAAATTGTGATGAATCAGGATGGAGACTACACTTGGTAAATGATCAAGATCTATATCACTAAGAATTGGAGAGCAGTTCTGAAGACCATAGCGTGTTAATTTATAAATCATAGGATAGCAGAAAAATAATTGTTCAACATACATTGGCTTAAAAATATACAAGACATGCAGAGCTATATACAGTACAGTATATTTAACTCAAGGCAGTGAAAACAAGCAATCAGAATCAAGCTAAAGCCATTGTATTTCATGCAACAACCATTTCAAACATTTTTCACACATTTAATAACCAAGTTCATTTAATGTTTGTGCTTACACGTACATAACAATGTTGCGATACAGTTACCATATAAACACTCAAACATACACACATACGCAAGCACACAAAGACACATGCAGACATGCTAGCACACATAAATGTTGACACAAACATAAGTACTGTACATCAGTTATTAATAAGAAGGCAGATGATCTGAAAACTGATCCTTTTCCTTTATGTCACCACTGTGCCTGCCATGAAAAGTAAGCCAGAAACACCCTAAAGACAAGTAAAACTGGTAAACCACTAAAAAATTGTATAGAATGGTAATTATAGAGGCACATGATGAGGTACACTTTTACTCCTTCGTTCACTACTCGGCAGCTGCTCGTAACACACACACACACACACACACACACACACACACACACACACACACACACACACACACACACACACACACAGAGGCATCTTAACATCTTAGTAACAAAGGATTTGGATAAGTATAGTTGCAAGACAAAAAACAGAATAAATGAGGAAATGAGCCAATTCTTGAGGACACAGATACAGTACAAGATTTAAATACATACACACTAATTTAACCACTACACATAGTGATGAATCATCTGAGTAATCCCAATGTTTAACAAGTGACAAAAACTTCCTCAGTCAATCATGATTACCAGATGATATAAATTGCTAATGATATAATTTACCAGATGACAAATTAACATACAAATTACCAGATGATACACATTGACAGTTGACAAACTGACAGATGACAAATTGCCATATAAAACTAATTACTAGATGAACACCTACAAGAAAAACTAGAAATAGAAATCACAAATAGACCTGAAGATGACAGCCATCAAGACACAACCATAAAAGCAAAGGAATGAAACAATGAGACCTAATTATAACAACAGAACAATATTGTATTCAGAAAAAGTGGGAAGTACAGCAAGTGATAATTAACATTTTCAAACTGAAATCTTTAGTATATTTATAATAATTATTTGAAATCAAGGAAGGTATTTTAATCCTTACAAGGGTATGGGAAAACTTATTTTCTGTTTGACTAATTTGAAACCAAGAGTGTTAGTATCATTATGGCTAAGAATATGTACCTGCAAGTTATACACTACATGAACATGTATATAAGAGAAGGCTGAGGAAAACTAACAAAGAAAAGACCAACATTGAATGTAATGAAATACCTCTGGCAGGTAGAGCCCCAGTGGCTTCCTAAAGCAATCTCGCTGAGATGGCTTCCCCATACTGAGTCACTTAAGCCACAGGAGTCCTGTTAGTATAACAGGGACCAGAGCCCAGAACCTGGCACCCCCCTCCTCACAGAGACACAGAGAGCTAGGGATTGTTATGATCTTATGATCATCCACACTGAGAAAGTATCCAGAAAGTAAGTAAAACCATACAAAGAAGTATAAGGTTCATACAAAATGAAGCAACAATAAAGCCAACTGACACCAAGAATGATTTACTCAAATCCAAATGGTTCACTCACCACTAGCTGACACCAAGAAACCAGCTACAATGGTAGCTGGTTTCTGACAGATGCCAGAACATTCAGGGCCTTCAATGAGCTGATCTGAGCTCAAAATGTACAAAATGCTGCCAAGTGGGAATGAGCCCTATGATCCTCCACAGTCGGGGTTCAGAGTACAGGCAGTTGGACAAAGACAAACTCTTTAGCATGGGTGGAACGCGAACAAGGGGACACAGGTGAAAACTCAGTACCCAAATGGGCCACAGAGACGTTAGAAAGAATTTTTTCAGTGTCGGAGTAGTTAACAGGTGGAATGCATTAAGCAGTGATGTGGTGGAGGCTGACTCCATACACAGTTTCAAATGTAGATTTGATAAGAGCCCAGTAGGCTCAGGAATCTGTATATCAGTTGATTGCCGGTCAAGAGGCAGGACCAAAGAGCCAAAGCTCAACCCCCCCAGCACAACTAGGTGCTTGCGGGGAGCAATAGAGCTGTAATAGAGTGCTCTATTGGTAGCAATAGAACTGCCAATTGCTCACATCTGTGGAGACTACCAGAGCAAACAAGTTTCAAGCAGTGCACAGCCCAAGTACTCCTAAATGACAGAATTCACTTCCTGTCACTCAAGTAACTGGGTTTGACAGAAAACTTCCCAAGCCCACAAGAAGAGGAGAGGTCAACAACCCAGGTCAGAGCACGGACTTGATCCCAAAACCCTTGGATACTTCAGAGCCCGAACAGGTGGGAAGGGGGAAGATCATATGCTGGGCAAACCACATAAGCAGGCAGAGGAGGAGCAGCAGCAGCAAACTTAGAACAGGTGGAATTCACCAATCTCTTCAACTTTGTTTCCCTAAACATTACATGGTCCAACTCCAGGGCACCTAATTGAACACTGTCACAAACCATGAATGTGGCAAAAATGACCCCACAAAGCAGCAGCTGCTTGATAAGCCTCTTGTCTTGAGGCAGGCACAGATAATACAGACGCCCCAACGAGCTCAAACATCATAGGATTCACTTGTCACTGACCCAGCAGGCAGAGGTGAAGACAGACAGACTTACCATCAGCATGTACTAAGGCCATGCACCCTTCAAAATCGCACATACTGAGTGCTAACTCAACGGGTCAATCCATTACGAGCCAAGCCACAGACCCACAGGGGAGTTATCAGGGCCTGAAGGAGTATAACCAAGCAGGACACCCAGGCACTTGGGATACTGGCTAAAAGAAGACACTGAACATAGCCTAAAAGATAAACACAGCTACGAAGCGTGTCCGAGGCATGCCATATGAACAGGCGCGACTCCTAGCTTACCCCACAACAACCAGAATACCCTCAACCACAGGGTTCCACAGAGGAGTTCGACTTATGCATTACCCAAGGCAAGGCTTTCCAACCCTGAGGCGTGGCCTCTCAGGAGTGAACTCCTGAACACACCAGTGCAGGGGCAATGCTAAGCGAGTGCTTAGGAAAAGACTGACCTAAATACATGCAGCTTGTAACCCAGATTAAACCAAGACCATAAGAGAAATGAGGCTAGTAAACACATGTGCATATGAAGCAAACACTAAAGGATAGGAACGACATACAAGTTATGGTGCCCACAAGTCAAAGTACCAAGGATGGCTGTCATTTATCTTTGAAAAGTGGTGGAACTTGCCATGGTTTTGGCAACTCGGGAAGGTTTGAAGTGTCTGACATCAGTAACAGTACTGACTCTTTGCTGGCTTGGAACCCAGGCACTCCCGAGGCACAGTCTGTTGGTGGCTTTGCATACTAGGTGGTTCAACAATTTGGATTTGAGTGAATCATTTGTAGAGTCGGCTGGCTGTTTCGGTGCTTCATTTTATGTGAACCATTGGATTGCTTCACCTATTTTTTAGATGCTTTCTCGGTGTGGGCAATCATAACAACCCCTAGCTTCCTGTGCCTCTGTGAGGGTGGCCAGGTTTTGGCTCTGATCATCAGCAGGCTAACAGGACTAATATGACTGAGTAGGGTTGAGTGTATGTTTATTTACTTCTAAAGCAATATACTATATTTAACATATTTTAAATAATGTGAGACCTATCAATGAAACATTTAAACTTCAAAATGTATGACGAAGACATCTAAGCATGTAAAAGGTTTTAAATTACTGATAGCAATAATAAACATAAAAGTATTATTTTAGTTGAATTCAAGGTTATAAGTTGCCCTATCTGAAAGATAATAATATAAAATGTGTCTACTTTCTTAAAAAAATTGAATATCAATAGAACAAGTGCAACAGATAAGTATATTACTCACAGTCCTCACCTTTCTCCTCCTCTTCCATCCCATCTTCTGCATCAGCTTCTGCTCCCTCTACAATTCTCTCCGAGGGAGGTGGCACAAAACCTTCTAATTCATCATCAATATTCCCAGAAAATTCTTCTTTTGCTAATGGAACATCTGGTGTATGAATAACATCCTGAGACTCTTCTCCCGATGGTTCTTCTCTGTGACCCACTAAATATTCACTTTCAAGAACATCATCTCTGTTGACAGAATGTGAATGTTCATCATGATCATCTTGCTCTTTAACACCTGTGGTAATGTCTTCTGCAACACTTGTGTCACCTTCAGGTGTTGTGTCATCTGCAACAGCCTCATTGTCTTTACCTCCATATTTATGTAATTCCTTAACCGTTTCATCCGTTTCATCACTATCTAATCCATCAGTTCTCTCTCTCTCTTCCTCCCCATCACTAATGTGTGAGTCCACTCTCTCACTTATTTCTTTTTCCGTTTGAACTCCTTCTCTACTCTCATTTTCTATCGGCCCCCAATCTTCATCAACATCAAGTGAGTTATTTAATGAATTTGCTAAAGAATCTCTGATTTCTGTTATAGATTTTTCCTCAAATGTATATGGCTCATCTTCACCAACATCCACAAGATTATCCGTTGATGATTGTATCCTAACTTCAATGTCTTCAATGGGAATCGAACACCTACCAGTCATTTCTGCACCTTCTTGCATGCTGTTTTTTCTTGAAAGATCTGCAAACTCGCTTGGAACAGGTATGGTAGGAGGGAATTCAAATTCAGTGTGGCTTTCTCTACGAATTTCAGGCAAGGGTGAAATGGCTTGGTAATTCATTCTTAGGTGTTCTACAGGGTCATCCATGTTTGGGGTAACAGGAGGGGAGAACGTTCCAGGAAGCTGAAGGAATGTAGAAGCAGCTAAGGATGAATCAAGTTGTTGAGTGGGTATACAGATGGAATATTTTCGGTGAGCGGATGAGGTACCAGGAAGGGGAGAAACTGGTGGAAGTGGAAAATTGGTGGTAATTGAAGATACAAAAGGTGGCAGGGCTTGCATAGGGATAGGTGAGGGACATGGTGAGACTTCTGTAGATGAACCCTCAATGGTAGGGAGAACCTGCAATAATATGCAACAATTAAAACAAATATTATTACTCTTATTACGATTATACAACCCATTTTATGCAAAAAGTCTCTTAAGTATCCCTAGTTGCTCAATGCATCATCTGAAACTGTTCCATTGAATAATTAAGATAAGCAAACATTCTCTCTCTAATCATTAACAGGGGTTCATCAAAACATTAACTATCACTTAGTGTAATTCTATATACTGTACCAGCTATAAATATCCAAAGGTCATTTTAAATATTCGGGACATTTTTCCAGGTTGACAGTTCTTGTTAGCTTCCCTCAGCTTACAACACTAGTTTGTGTAAGACATTGACCACACCAGGCTTCCAGTAACAACCTGAGCATGCAGAAGTAACGAGCACCATCTTTATTTGTTCAATTCTCATAGCCCAAGCAAATAAAATTTCAAAGCACTCAACCCTACTACAAACATTTTGGGATCACTAATCACCAAACTAATCTCTGAACAATCCAATCCCAAAAAAACAATTGCCACCAGGTGGCTAAGCTACACAAGGACCATGGTGAGTAGACCCTCTTACAGTTTTGCCTGGTGTTGTGTGGTTGACAGTTCTTTAAGCTAAATTGACTGATTCAGTGTTGAACTTTGCCTGACCATGCCTTCCTTGCACTTAAGCTCTGTTTCAGGGTCTTCTTCCTGGGCCTTGCAAGGGACAATCATCTTTTACCAGTTATCTTCTCCGAGGATTTTATTCCTTGCTAGAAGGATGATGCTCTTTCTCTCTCACAATTTCATGATGTGGGACTCATCTAGGATAAGCTATCATATTTCTATGGAGCTGTCAGCTAAAAGATCCAGGTTTGTGGAGCTTCCCTGAACAGGAGTTTTGGATGCTATTTAACCAATGCAGATAATGAGTCAAATAATATGGATGAAGATTTGATATCCAATCAATAGACAAAAAATGAAGAAACAATGACATTTCTGTCATCATGGACCATTATCAAGTCATGTACTGTATATTTGAAAGAAACGTTGTTTCTTTATTTTCTGATATGTGGGTTGTATATAAAAGCTATTTAACCTTTGTTTAACCTTTGTTTCTCCAGTTGGTGGACGGGCTGTATTACCCATCCAACTTTGGAGCTAAACAATTCCTTGATGCAACCCTAAGTGTGTGTTTCTAGGTTCCTCTTGATGGACTGAATTCAGCATTTTTGCTAAGATTCTTACAGTTTGATCTGACTTCTCTATAGGCCATGTGGGACATTATGTCATTCCTGCACAATGGTAAGGACCAAGCCTTTAATAAAACCTATCTTCATTTCTGTTTGCATGGGCTGCCACTTCCTGGTCACAGTATGAAGTCCTCGCCTCTCCCTGGCTTGTTGAGAGCCTGCTGTTTTCACTGGGGAAATAGCATCACTTTCACTGTTTAGGTTCTGGAGAATAAGGATGTTACTCTCGTCTTCAATGTGTTTTTCTTGAGAACCTCATTCGATTGATCACAAGGCTTGGTTGTGGCTAGCTCATGTTTGCAGTTCTGTGCCACTCAAAAAATGTTTGTCTCCCAATTACATAAGGAATTGGGTACACTTTAGATGGATTTTTTGCTGTCTGTGTCTACAGTGTCTACACCTGCCAGAGCTTTGCCCCAAGCTCTATGCTTTACTCTTTCACATAGCAGTGGTGGACTTCTTTGCAGCTTACTGCACCTGGCAAGGGTCAGATTCACAAAGCAGTTACGCAAGCACTTACAAACCTGTACATCTTTTCTCAATCTTTGGCAGTTTTGCTAATAATTATTAAACAGTTAATGAGCTCTGAAACACCAAGAGGCTGTTTATAACAATAACACCGGTTGATTGGGAAGTTTTCATGCTTGTAAACTGTTTAATAAATGTAATCAAAGCCGTCAAATCCCCAAAAAACGAAAGAAAGATGTACACGTTCGTAAGTACTTGCGTAACTCCTTCGTGAATCTGGCCCCTCATGACTTTTCATCCTTGATTATTTCCAGGAATTTGCTTGGTTATCTTGCAGCTACTGAATTCTCCTTTCTATCTGCTTCATTTTCCAAAAGAGACTGTGTTGAGTATCATTGGTGGCGGGTGTGATTTTCCAATTGCTTCACTCTGCCTGTCATTTATGATCTGCTCGGTCAGCATCTGCTTGACCCAACTAACCAGCTGCTGGTCAGCTAGCCCCTGGTTGGCCAAGCACCAGCCACCCAGATGGCCATTAACCAGCCAGTCAGACAGGCATTTGTCAGCCAACCAGCCAGTCAGCTAGCCAGCTATTGGCCAGCCAGCCATCTGATACCTGACATTCCTGAGATTATTACCAGAAGCCTTACAAGGTCACAGTGGCCTATGTACAAGCTGGTGATGTAAGCTAATGGGAGCTAATGAGGTACAACACAGAAAGGGGTATTTCATTACAATCAATGCTCTACTTTTATCATAAAATGGGAAAATCATTTACAAATATTTACATGTAAAAAATAATAATGTACAACAATTAATATCAAGCATGTAGACCTCAGAATGTGAGTGTTAAAAATTCTGAAATTACAGTACAGTACCTGTAATCCTGAACCTGATATTCTTTGCTCTCCAATTTTCTCAAACTCTACATCATCTGAAGCCTCTAATGTAATTATTGGTGGAGGAAGCCGAGTGACAGTTTGTGCATTTTGGTCATCAACAGCCCTCTCTGTATGCTCTATAATCTCACGCACAGCCTTCTTAAGACTATTTGCTCGAGACATCAATGCATCCTTCTCTATGAAGTGTTTCTGCAATTTAAAAAATGCATTTAAAGTGCTTAAAAATGTGTTCATTGTTTTAGCACAAATAACCTGTACAGTTCAATTGTTTCTACTCCTTCCTAGTGTATTGTAAAAATACTTGTGTATTTTTATGTCTCTATACTCATTTTGATATGATGATATATTTTGATAGATTTACAAATCTAAATACAGTATTTGCTTACCAAAATTAAGAAATACATGGTCACTACAGGTGACCCTTTACTCATTGCAAAAATTTTGTTTTGGAAAAACATTGTGCATAGTGAAAATGTTCAGTGAATTTAACTATAGATAGGAGAAATAGGTTTGCATTGCAGCAACTTCGAAAAGTCCACTTTTTAGGCCATAAGGAAAGGTCTGCTGTGTTCTGAACAAGATCATGCATGGTCAGCAGAATGACATTGTACCAATACCACAGGAAACTTTTTAAATTGTCCCTGTAGGGTCATGAAGGTGCTAGTCACTGGAGAATAATCAGTCCAGCCAAGAATGACCAAAACTCTGCTCATTTAGTTATTAGTTAATGAAGATATCCACCTGGATGCTATCCCTCATAACCCAGGCAATACCCAAGGAAGAGCAGCTAATGGGTACAGACTGGGTTACAAGGGATAGCATCTGGGTGCATTCCTTCATTAACAACAATTTCAGTTCTCAGAACCCAGCATAACAGAAAGAACAACTGATCGTAATTCCCTAGAGGATATATCTACGGGAACACTGGGAGTTGGGGATGGAGATGACATGGTCAGGCAGTCAAGACAAATAAGAGGACTTCATCTAGGATAGCAACTGTATTGGGCATTGAGATGCAAGTACTGTTCATATTATATACTCAGCCCTTGACAAAGCACTCAAGAGAGTGCAAAAGACTTGGTGTATTTAAATCCTGCCCGAAATACTATGTGTGTTAGTGGCTTTGCAAGAATGTAAAGATACCAATCATATGAAACCTCACAGTCCCAGTGTACCTTCTTGTGAATAATAATAATAATAATAATAATAATAATAATAATAATAATAATAATAATAATAATTATTATTATTCTTTACATAAATTATATAGTAACCTAAATGTGTATTTTTTATCTTTAATCTATATAATGCCAAAATATTTGGATAAAAACCATATATGTATGTGAAAAGGTATGAGCATTAGCCACAACAAATCAAATATTACAAGTCAGGCATAATCTACAAAACAACCCAAATACCATAAAATGAGTGGGCATTATCTGTAATATGAAGCAAAATCACATGTGATTTCAGCCACAATGATTCACATTTAATTTAATGAAACAATATTACTATCACAAAAAATCTGGAACTAACCATTCTTGACAACCAAGGCTCATCTGTAAATATTCACATGCACATCTAGAACCACATTAACACGTGAAATAACATACCCGTTTTGTCCTTTTTCTGTGTTGAATATTTGAAGCATTTTTATCATCTTTGCACAAGATGCTTTTTTCTGCAGAACAGGTATCAAGATCCTCACTCGTTTCTGAGCTCTAAAATAAGAATATAGTACCGACATTATTATACAGAATTTCTAAAAGTGTCTTACTATTTTCAAAATACACAAACATAAGTTCATAATGCCAGTCCAGAAACAAACGTGTGTCTCAACCAAAACTCGTATAAAACACCATGTGTGCTAAAATAAATACAGTACATGACTAACACAAGAAAAACATTTCTGGAGGAGCTTCTGGTGGCTACATGAAGCTATCTTGCTTTCCATACTGAGTCATATCAGCCAAAGAAGTCAAGTTAACCCACCAGAGACCAGAGCCAGAACCTGGCTCCCTGCTCTCAGAGGCACAGACAGCTGAGGATTATTATGATCACCCACACTGACAAAGCCTCCAGTAAGTTAAGCAATGCAAACAACTTCAAGGTTCACATAAATGAAGCAGCAAGGCAGCTAACAGACCCCACAAATGATTCACTCAGATCCAAATTGTTCACTTGAAACTGACCTCAAACCCATCAGTACACAAAGCTACCAACATGTGGCATCCTGGGAGCTCCTATTTTAAGGTCAGTGATGAGCCAGACCTATCACTGATGTCAGAGTGCTCTGATCTTCCTGAATCACCCAAGCCACAGTGGGTCCCACTTCTTTTCCAAGATAAGTGCCAGCTATTCTTTGGATTTTGTTCTATGAAGCTGGAGAGGAGCCCAAGGAAGATCCACGAGTGCCCTTCAACCACTGTTGAACTTCGATTCTGCTTGATGAGGGCATTTTGCACCAGGGCGAGGACTTCTCTTATCCCTCTTTTAAATATAAGCTAGATTACTCACCTGCTCCCTCTGGGTGTACTTCCATGTGAAATTCAGTTCCGCAGAAATGTCTTAATTTCCCAAGGTTTCTATTGTTCCACCTTACGCCTTCTTCGGCTTTGGAGGATATGTTTCGGTTCCTCCTGTGGGATCAGGACCGAAGGAGGTGAAAAGCCTGGTAATTACCTAAGTGTAGTTACAGGATGAGAACTATGCTCGTAGTGCCCCATCTACCCAGCACTCTCTGTCATATAACGCTTTAAAGCTACTGACGGTGACGGACGGTGTTTGAAAGTACTGATGGTTTTGGCCTCCACAATTTTCTCACTTAACTTATTCCAATCAGTGAAAGCCTGGAACTGCACTTGGCCTATGTGCTTCATGTTCTGCATAGCCTGAACTGCAGCAGAACTTGCAATCAACTTTGTGTTTAGGGAAGCCATATCTATGCTCTCTTTCTGGGGTTGCCAAGTTGTTCTATCACATGTACAAAATAGGAAAAATTTTTGGTGAATGAAGTCTGCATACTCGGTCATAGGTTCATGGTGGTTCTCCTTGTGTGGAACACATAGGTAACACAAAGGAAGAAATCAATCATACCTAGTGTAGTAATCTCAGCTTACTTCAGTCCTAATATTTTATTTTCAAAATTAAGTAAAATGGTATTCCATTAGCCCTAGATATTTTAGGCCAAATAATATCCATTATCAATGAGCAGTCCTCCTTGGCTGAATATAAACGTAAATTTATAGTGAGTGGAGATTTTAGTTTTTAAAAATGACTACTACAGCTCAGCAGAGACATTCTTATTATAGCTCATTATCAATACCTGTTCCCATCACCAGTACAGTTTCTACAAATGTGCCTAATATGATGCACTTATCACAAAGTGCACAAATTATATTGTTTTTCAAATTTATGACACCCACTATACTGTAAATAATTGGAATAATGTAGTGTATATTCTACCTCATCTACAACTGATGAATCTTCAGGAGTTACAGTACTAAGAGTAGACATGGATGCTATGCTCTCCTCATGTAGTGCTCGGAGAAGTAGGTCTAATTTATCATTTAGTACTGCACACTTGGATGAGAGGGAGTCCTCTACTCCTAGTACATCCGCACCTTCAGTTGAGAGTGGTCCTTCACCCCAACTTCTTCCCACTTTCATAATTAGAGATTTGATTGTCTCACACAGCACTCTGCAATAGAAATTTCAACATTAAAAAATTAACCAAAAAAAGAAATTACATTCAAATAAAAAATTTGTTAATGGACACTTGAATCTTATAACATCTATAAGATGTTATATCAATCATGCTACAGAGCACAAAGGAGTAGGAAAAAATATAGGAAATAAAAGTATCGTATTTGCTAGCATATAGGATGCATATATTTTGTCCGATAACAACTGAACATGGTGGTATGTTGTATTTACATTGCACAAAATCATGTTTCTTCCCTACAAAACCACTTAAAATTAAATCTAATAACTGTATGATGAACCATACATAGATAGTTTTTCTACAAAATGTCAGCAAATACAGTAATTAGTGGGTGAATTGTTTGCATTTAAAATTTTATTCCTGGATGTTGCCAGGTTATCAACTAGTAAGTAATAACCTAAGTGTAATTATCAAAGTGTAGTTACAGGATGAGAGCTAAGGTTGTGGTGTCCTGTTTTCCCAGTACTCTTTGACATATGACGCTTTCAAACTACTGACGGTTTTGGCATCCACCACCTTCTCACTTGACTTGATCCAATCATCTACCTCTCTGATTGCAAAAGAGAACTTTCTCTTTTTTTGGGGGGGGCAGCCTTGTTTCCTTAGTTTGAGTCTATGACCACTTGTTCTTGAAGATGCAGGAGTCAAGAGTTCTTCTTTGTCAATTTTGTCGATTCCTGTCACTATTTTGTATATAGTGATCATATCATCTCATTTCCTTTTATCTTCTAGCTTCATATACTTAACACCATTAGCCTCACTTCATAGCTTTTTTCCAGCTCCAGAAGCCATTTAGTTGCATGTCTCTGCAACTTTTCCAGTTTATTGATGTGATACTATCTGTTTGGCTTTAATTATTTTTCTAGTGCTTTGACTACCAATGCAATCCAAGTCCATTTATAAGGATATTACAAGATTTATCATAGTACAGTGTAATAGCATTGGTATAGTATCACATTGCACTCTTTTTATGTGATGGCAATCCAGACTTAGCCATATTGCACATGTACCCAACAGCAATTAATGGAAAAAATTGGGAGAAGCTAACCCAAGTGTCTGGCCTCAAATCTTGGACAGAAAGGCAGGTAGACATTTTCATTTATGGATATAGATTGCATACCATTAAATGTAACCTATTCCTGTGGCCTTCCTCCTTCCACTGTAAAACAAAGGGAAACACATTGATGACCAAACCGCACAATAGAAAGTGAAGGGACGACGACGTTTCGGTCCGTCCTCGACCATTCTCAAGTCGATTGTGTGAGTTGAGTGACACACAATCGACTTGAGAATGGTCCAGAATAGACCAAAACGTTGTCGTCCCTCCACTTTCTAGTGTGTGGTTTTGGTCAACATATTTCAGCCACGTTATTGTGACTCCTCGTCTGCATGTGGGGAAAAATATTTGGCAAGAGTACATATTAGCCACACATGATTAACTCATGGATGCAAATGGAACTAAGATCTTCACCTTATTGTCAGAACTTCATTGTCCTACTAACAGTCATGCACCTCCTTGTAGAATATCATGATTTTCAGGATAATTTTAAATCTTGCTTTTTCAATATTCCTTTAGTCACTTATCCCTTGATAAACTCCTTGGTCAATCTGGCACCTTTGAAAGCACATGTCCATAAGTGTTCACATTGTTATTTGGAATGAATCATTTCATACACTGATAAAAATAATGTAGTACTCTTGTAATAAAAATCATTACTTGAGAAACTTCTAAAACTTACTTTGCAGATGAAATAACAACAGAATGTTGGTCTGACTGAAGCAATGTTGCTAAATGAGTGCCAACTGAATCTTCGTAAGCTGCTACTTGAGTAAGTAAGGAATGAGAGGCAAGTGACTGCAGCTTGTGTTCTGGACTCAGTGTTACATGACTCACATAGCTCATTATGCTCCATCTGCAAAAAGAAACAAAAATAATTAATATTCAATACTGTACACACAAAAAACCAGCGTTAAATGTAATGAAACACCATTTTCTGGGTGAAACCTGGGGGCTTCCCAGAGCTTTCTAGGCTGAAATGCTAATGTCAGACTTTGGCATGAGTCATGCGTATGGAGTTCTGCGGGCCTACTGGGGACCACGAGCCAGAACCTGGTCCCCTCAGAAGAGGCACGAAGAGCAATGGCCTATAGAAACTCCCGTGTGCTTGGAAACATTCTATGTTGGCCATCGACGGGGTCAGGCACCCCAGAAAGGTAAGTGTCCCAAAACAAACCCCTATTTTGGTGAAAATTGCGACAAAAAGCCGAACAAGTGAATAGAACTCCCCAAACAGAAACGGGCAAACGAGTATGACGTTTCTGTGTCGCTGTCTGCGCAGCTTCCCCCTTCCCGATAGGGGAAAGGGAGAGCCCCAGACCCCCCGCGCTGGCAATCCACCTCTGAGTTCTGAGACTGAACATCAAAACACGCGAAAAACCACCGACCAGGGAAGGGAGGGTTGCCAGGGAGCCTCCGGGTCTCACCCAGAAAATGGCATTTCAGTACACTCAACGCTGGTTTTCTGGGGGGAAGCCCCGTCGGCTCCCTGGAGCTACTTACCCAAAGATGAAAACACGAGGGACCCCCCAATGCGAAGCGAAGACAAAAACTGCAATGGCGAACCCATGGCCACACAGGCCCAACAAGGCCCATGAACATTAACAAAGGAATGCAGAGCCAACCAACAAACGACATGGGCACGGGGACAGACAGCAGGCTGGCAGGACCGAAACACCCCACGGACGACTCGAGAGAACTGGAACAGGGAAGCGGGGGAACTCGGAATGACCCAAAGCATGACCCCGGTCACGGCAGCCGTGGCACGCCAAGCACGGCACATTGCTACAACCGAATACACAACACACGATGCACCCCTGGCCAGACCAACCAAGCGTCACAACCCAAGGACCCCTCCAGAAAGCAGCCATGCCAGTTTCCGCCAGAAAAGAAGGAGACAGCTGCAAGCGAACAAACCTATCAGGAGAACCAAAAGAGGCGAAACCCAGGCGCCGGAGGAGGGCATGAAGCACTCCAACCAGACCCCCAGAGGCCAACGCCAACAAGAAAACAATGTCTCAGAAAACAACGCGAAACCGAAGAGGACCACAACAAACCGAGGAGAAGAGAAAAGAGCACGCAATCCAAGAACCAGGATGGCTCAAGCAGTGCGGGAGCAGGCCGGAGGTGAAGCACACCAGAGACGCTCGCAAAGCGGTGCTGAGGTAACTTCCAAAACCGAAGCAACCCGGAGCGGCTCCGCCAGAACCGCATGAGACAAGGCAACAGTATGTGGCAAGATGATGGCCCTAAACCTCCACAAAAGAAGGACCAGACCACACCAAGAAAACATAGCAAATCGACGAAGGGACAGAAAGAAAAAGGAAGGACCGCCAAAGAAAACCCCACACAGCCGCCAATACCAAGCACGCAGGTGGGACACCATCAACGAAGCCACCTGACCACCAACAGACAGTGAGATACTCGAGGCAGAACCGAACCAGCCCCACAATGGACCGATCGAGCATAGGAAGAGGCTGAGCCGCAGGAAAACCTCAGGTGCGACTACCGAGCAAGCAGAGCCGGAACCCAAGCCTGCAAGGAATGAGAAGGAACGCCTGCCATACAGAAAACTTCCCAGTGCTAGTGAGCTCACTAGGAGATTGGAGACACTGTGGTTCCAACGCGAGACTCGTGAGAAGTGACACCGCGAGATCCGGAAAATGCCAACTGGCAGGATAAGCCAGGAAGCCAGGAACCCAAACCTGGCAAGCCGGGAAAGAACCAAACACAGGGGCAGTGCAAAAGCAGGGAACTGAACATGGACAAAGTCCAACCTAGCCTCTCTACTCGGAGAGAACCCCAGCAACATCAGAGGCCCGAGACTGTTCAACATGCCTCCACGACACATAAGGGGCAAAACTGGCTGACCCCTCACAGTGACAAAGAAAGAACTAGATCAGCACCACCAGAGGATACCTGATCAACTAGGCTGTAAGGAATACACCAGGCTGCACGCCGCTGTGTCAAACAGCCTGGGCGACCAGACCAGCAACGAGGAGGCCTGGTCGACGACCGAGCCGTAGGGACACTAAGCCCCAGAAACACTGCAAGGTAGTAGTAGGAGAGCCAAGAAGCACATACTAAACCACAAAACAGTGTGTAATTACCTAAGTGTAGTTACAGGATGAGAGTTACGCTCGTGGTGTCCCGTCTACCCAGCCCTCTTTGTCATATAACGCTTTGAAGCTACTGACGGTTTTGGCCTCCACCACCTTCTCACCTAACTTGTTCCAACCGTCTACCACTCTGTTTACAATAGAGAATTTTCTTATATTTCTCCGGCAGCTTGATCAGGTAACGAGAGGGGCGAGGTAACATCAGAACTATTACATCCCTTGACACTTAGTTAGCACAACACAAACAAATGTAAACCAACTTGTACAGGGCTTCTCGCAGACGTTAGGCCCAGATAAGTAACTGACCCACAAAACAATTAGAGGCGTAGAGGCGAATGAGGTGCCCCACACCCATACGTAGGGAAAACCCAACGTCCTCCCCATAGTGGCAATCCAGAACACCTCCAGCATCTACGGGGCACGGACTGAAGAGACAAGAGGAGTGAGAGAGGCGAAGCACCCGAGAGAAAAAGGACGTGGAACACCAGCACTTGTGTACATTGTCTAGAACAAAACAAACTCCCACGGCACATGCGCAGGACACATGAGGTCCGAACGGCACAACCTCCCCCAGCGGGGAGGGCGCCAACAAGGAGTATCGCAAAAATATTAGCAGTGCCTAGACAGAGCATGGAGAAATGATATAATGACAAAAGAACGAGGCAGTATCGAAAACTAAGAAGAAGCATGGAAGAGGACCAACGAGCCCAAAAAGAACTGGAGGTAAGCCTCACCGGAAGACGACAGACATTCCAACAATGCGGGAAGAATCGAAGACCTTCCCGAACCCCGAGATCTCACAGAAGCAAACACAAAATCACGAAGGCTCATAAAGGCACAGTCACACCAGAGACGAAAAGTCATGCAGAACCCTGATAATAGGGGAACATGACCCCGACATGGCGGAGAAGTCCCGTCCCACAAAATGTGGGGTAGAAACGGAGAAAAGTACCCACCGATAGGACAGAACTGAACGGACCCAAAGGAACAAAGATCCGAACCCAGGGAGGGGCCAACACCCAACAACTCGTACGCAGAGGGGGGAAAGGAAAAACCCCCTCCCCATAACTGCAAGCTCTGCTCAGAGGGTAGAGCTGACTTGGGGCCCTCGGGCCCCAAGTCAGCACCTCCCCAACCCCAGGAACCTTCACGGCAGGCCCCTGGGCCAAGCCGTCCCCCAAAGCCCCAGCCTCACAAGAAAAAGCCGGGGCACCCGGAAAATTATTAAGGAAGGGAGCCTACTGGCAGACTCATACAACACGGCTGGAGGAACAAGATTGAATGCCTCCGTCGCTACCCCGGAAGGAGAAACCCCTAAGACCACCCGAGTATCAAGACCATCAAATCCCCGCCCCGACCCTGAACCTACAAACGGAAAGGGTCCAGATGCAGGGAGGGAAGGGAGGAAGGGAGGGAGGGGGGACCAGATGAAATCACAACAAGGGAAAGACAAGGGGGCGCAGAAGGAAACAAAACCAAAGCAACTAACACCTCCAATCCCCAACACAACAACCAAAACGGGGCAGCCTCGAGGCTTCCGGGGAGCAAAAATCCTAGCACGTTACAACCCCTTGAACCCATCGTGCAATACCCATGCTGCCTGCACCAGCATAGTCAGCATAAGACCGGGTAACAAGTCACAAACAAGCAACGAAACTCGCAGGACTCCGGGTCGAAGGTGCCTTCGACCCCACAGGCAGCAGACAGAGGCAAAAACAATAAGTCACCCTGAGAAAAGGGATCAAAGCAACCCGCGAACTCTCACAAAGCTGTGAACTCTCCAGTTGTCTGTAAAGCTGAACACAGGTCGTTGTTCAGTCCACAATCATCTGAGTGGTTCGGCACAGTTCCTTTCCCTCGTCCTCTCCCAAATTCTTATCCTCATACTTTTCAAGTGCTATAAAGTCATAATGGCTTAGCACTTTCTCCTGATAATTACCTTATTTTGCCCTGGAGAAGAGCTTATTTTTCTTTGTTAATATTATTGAGTCACTTCCAATAATCTCTTAGCTATAATTAACTAGTCTTGAGAGTGTAATTACCAAAGTGTAATTAAGTGGAACTAAGTGTAGTTACAGGATGAGAGCTATGCTCGTGGTGTCCTGTCTCCCCAGTACTCGGTCATATGATGCTTTGAAACAGCTGACGGTTTTGGCATCCACTGCAATCTTGCTTATCTTGTTCCAATCACCTATGTTTGCAAAAGAAATATTTCTAATATGTTTTAAGCCATTTCTTTAGCGTGAATCTGTGTCCACTTATTTTTGAAGTTGTAGGTTTCAAGAATTCCTCTTTGTCAATTTTGTCAATTCCTGTTATTATTTTGTATGTAGTGATTATATCACCTCATTTTCTTCTATCTTCTACCTTCAGCATATTTATTATCTCTAGCCTTTCTTCTTAGCTCTTGTTTTTCAGTTCTGGAAGCCATTTTGTAGCATGCCTCTGCACCTCGAATGAAGGGAGCCGGTTGGCCGAGCGGACAGCACGCTGGACTTGTGATCATGTGGTCCTGGGTTCGATCCCAGGCGCCGGCGAGAAACAATGGGCAGAGTTTCTTTCACCCTATGCCCCTGTTACTTAGCAGTAAAATAGGTACCTGGGTGTTAGTCAGCTGTCACAGGCTGCTTCCTAGGGGTGGAGGCCTGGTCGAGGACCGGGCCGCGGGGACACTAAAAAAAAAACGAAAATCATCTCAAGATAAGATAACCTTCCCAGCTTATTGATGTGCTTCATGAGATATGGGCACCATATAATTGATGCATATTTCAATTTTTGGCCACTTTCCCTTGTAGTTACAATGTGATGATTTCAGGACTCAACGTCCCCACGGCCCAGTCCTCGACTAGGCTTCTTGCTTGCTGGACTGGTCAACCAGGCTGTTGGATGCTGATGTATGTATCACAGCCTGGTTGATCAGGTATCTTTTGGAAGTATTTATTAAGTTCTCTTTTGAACACTGTGAGGGGTCGGCCAGTTATGCCCCTTATATGTAATGGAAGCGTGTTGAGCAGTTTTGAGCCTCTGATGTTGATATAGTTCTCTCTCAGAATATCTACTGCACCTCTTCCTGCCATGCCTTTTGGTCTCACATGGTGTTATTTTTGTGTGCAGGTTTGGGACCAGCCCCTCTAATACTTTCCACGTGTAAATTATTATGTATCTCTCCTGCCTGTCCTCAAGAGAATACAGATTTAGGCATTTTAGTCAGTCCCAATAGTTTATATGTTTTACTGAGTGGATTTTAGCAGTATAAGATCTCTGCATGCTCTCCAGGTCAGCAATTTCTCCAGCTTTGAAAGGGGCTGTCATTGTGCAACAGTATGACAGCAGTCATACAACAACGTATGACAACAGCCTCACAAAAATTGTGAACAGTTTCTTTAACATTTCACCATCAACGTATTTCATGGCAATTCTGAAGTTGAAAAACCCGGCATATGCTCCTCGCACAATGTCCTTTATGTTTCCCTCTGTTAACAGTCTACTATTTAGAACTACCCTAGCTCTCTTTCTTTGCTAGGGTTCTTCAATGTCTTTCCACATATGGAAAAGGTATTATGCTAAGAAACAGGGAGCAAAACACACAATTTCCACAACTTAAGAGATAATGTTCTCACCTGTCAAGCATTTTGGTGGTGGCTCTTTCATATTTCTCCAGTATATGAGGAAGATGCGTGTCGTCGTCACAAGCCGAGCCCCAGCCAAGGACTCGTGCCAGATCATTGCCCGTGCCCAATGGTAGTACACCAATCTGGCACTGATTCTGTATAATGATACAAGAATGATAGCTGATACAGAGTTAGAATTAAAAATAAATTTTGGATTTACACAATTTATGGATTTGGAGAAAAACTTTATCTGGAATTATAAGAGATGTTCACTTTAGTGCACTAAGAACATGGAGTGGGTGGAATGCTGTTGGACATAAATGCCACAATTCTACAAAGAAAAAGCGTGACTGTGAACGGCATATATATATACAGTATACACCATGAGTAACATGTCCCACTGCGCATGGCGTATGTATACACCATAGGGTGCCAGGCACGATTCAAATGGCTCACGGCTACACATCAGCTTCCTCAGGGCTCTTGTAAACATACACCGTGTTTAAAAAAAAATCGTGGGCAATATTCTCCAGCGTGAGAGCCCCAGTACTGTGGGAGCAACCAAGGCTGGCACACGCAGCATGAGCTAACAGCATTGCTGTTCAGCTTGTGACCACAGCATTGCCTAAAAATGTCAAAATAAATACAGTATGTAACTGCTATTATTTAGTGATGACAGTATTACAGATGACCCCTGATTGTGATAAAAATGTCCAGAATTGTGATAATAGCAGGATTGTTGTGATAATTAATGCTGAGTGGGAGGAGTAATGCTGTGGGAGGGAGGGAAGAAGATAGCATCGTTTACTGACTGTGTGGCCACCTGTTATTGTCTGCATTCACCATACCAGCGCAGTGGTTCTCTATTGTGAACACAAATGTTGATACTTATATATAATGTGTGTATTAGTGTATTAACAACAAAAGAATTATGTTGGGAGAAGCCATTTGGGCAACGGAGGTGGCATTGTCTGCATGACTTGTCTAGCTGTGTAGAGGATGGCCAGTTGCACCCTACAAGCTTAGGTGTACAGTTACAGTGCATACAACATGTAGATACTTATATGTAATGCGTGTATATAGTGTAATAACACCATGAACAGTATTGTTGGGGGAGAAATTTTAGTATGCCTGACCTTGAATGAGTGCGGGAGGCAGCCACCAGCTGACTGTGTGTGTAGCGACGTCTCTTAGTGCCTGAACTAACTATATCAGCTTAGTTGTACAGTTGTGGTGAGCAAAACATGTAGATACTTATATATAATGTGTGTATATAGTGTAATAACACTACAAACAGTATTGTTGGGGGGAGAAATTTTAGTGTGCCTGACCTTGAATGAGTGCGGGAGGCAGCCGCCAGCTGACTGTGTGTGTAGCGATGTTTCTTAGTGCCTGTACTAACTATATCAGCTTAGTTGTACAGTTGTGGTGAACAAAACATGTAGATACTTATATATAATGAGTGTATATAGTGAAATAACAGCAAAACTATTTGTTTACTGTTTTATGAATGTAATAATTGGATCACTAATATGAATACTGTACAGTACCATACTTTTGAGTATAGCGATGATTCACACATTTTATTATATAAATCTATCACACAACACACTGTTGAATAATATTACTGCAAAACACTAAGAAAAAATCAGACATTAAAATAAATAGGTAATAATATCTTTGTGGCAACTCCCACATGACAGCTCGGGTGACGCTGACGGCCTCTGATGACTGCTCTGTCAACGCTCACATTTTGCCAGACTTCCTCGGCCTATTGCGCACAAAATATGTCACCTACGATTTTTTTGTTATTTTTCCCTTGCTCAGGGAACAGAAATTAACATTTTTAGAAGACGAAAAAAAAATGTTGAATTTTTTTTTCTTGCACACAGGGGTGTAAATCTCCTCAGGACCCCTTAGCAGCTTAAGGGTTAAAGGCATTCATTTGTGTATTGTTACATAAGAACATAAGAATGAAGGTAACTGCAGAAGGCCTATTGACCCATACAAGGCACCTCCTATTTATAACCACCCAATCTCATTCATATATATCTCCAACCCACACTTGAAATAATCAAGGGATCCTACTTTAACTACATTATGTGGTAACCAGCTCCACAAATCAACAAATTTTGTTACCACTGAAATGTGTGAGAACCACTCTGGTGGTCACTGACCCTTCCAAGTAGCACCAGGGAAGGGTTACTCCTGAAACAGAGCTGAAGAGAATTTTATAATAAGAAACACACAAACAGATCAGGTACCACAATGTGACGTGAACTGTTAAGCATGGAACCCTTTGCGCTAAGACTAAATGTCTTTTTATGGATATCCAATTTGGGATTTGAATGAAAAGTGGTCTCTGGCAACTAAGCGATGTGACATGTAAGTTGAAAACTTCAAAGTGAGGTGGCAAGCTTCCCCAACTGTGAGATTCAACAGTGCAGTTATCTAAAGGCTTCTAGGATAGTTGATTGATTAGAGTTCTGCAATTTCAGAATTTTCGTTTACAATTTCTGAGCTGCCAAGAACTATTTGAAGGGCGTTTGTGTGTGGTTTCAAGGGTTTCTTTGTTACAGCAAGTAGTTACCTCGGGTTGAATTTGAGTTCAGTTTTCCAATAAACTACCCACCTCAATTAGCATAGGAGAGAGAGACAATTTGTAAGGCTACTTTTCTTCTGGGATTCAGAGTCGCTCAAAGTCTAGTACATTAGTCTGTTAGTGTCCAGGATGGGTCCAGTACAGTGTTTAGGGTTAGCTGCCAATGGGGGTCTGGCACAGATTGGGTAGAACTAGAGAGAAGTTCACCCTAGAGAAGCATTATCTGTAACTTAGAAAATAAGTATAGTAGCAGACAACCTTTGCTAAACAGCTTGCAAGGTAAGATAATCCTGTAACCACCACTGAAGCAGGCTAAAAAACCACAAGACATGCAAGGTGACTAGCAAACACCCACTAAGAGCATTAACAGAAATGATATCCAACAAAGTATTAGAAAACAACTAGAAAAGGCAGTCACTTCGTTAAAAACACATGCCTCAAGAGACACATTGTATTGGCGGAGACACCAGGTGCATGTGCAACGTTGGTGGCCTCGCTGGACTACTGGTTGACGAGCACTGCCATCTGGTGGTGGAGGAGGAAGTGGCAAGGGTTTTTAGTATTTGGGATAGTTTCATGATTAAATTGGCATTTATTTATACTGTACCGAACATTTCTCTTACAATCATTTTGAGTTTTTGTGATCCCTTTTCAATCTTTTGGGTTTCCTCAGGGTGTGACATCTAATGTGACTTCCTCAGTTTCCCCTGCCTCTTGGGCGGTCAGGATTCTGGTACCTGATCCCGGTAGGCCAGGAGTGTGTCACAGATGCCCAGTGTGCTGCATTTGGCCCTGGAGATCTAGTGCATAAGTTCTGGGAAGCCAATAAGGAAGCATCTCTAGAAATATAGTAGTATGTAAATTATATAATATTGTGCTTATAAATGTAAGTACAGAAAAATACAAAATTAACTTACTGTCATATGCAACTTGTCAATTTCAGAAAGGACCCATCCCACTGAGCCATCCCCACTGCATATTAATATTCTGAATGGGTTGAAACATTTGAAAAGACGAAGCCTGAAAATAAATATATTGAATATAAGGATTCATGCTAAAAAAAAAAAAAATTGTCAAAATGGCAAATGGCAAAATAAAATGCCATTTAATTTTATGGAAGTAAAATTGGGAGTTGATTTAACAAGCTTAATTGAAAGTCCTGTTACTTTTTTATACAGTACTGTATTGTATTGATAAAACAAAACATAGCATAGTTAACTCCTATAGGCATACACAATACAATACAAATTAATTTAGAAATAAGCTAATTTTGTAATGCCATTTAAGATACTTGTACAGTACTAATACACTTGTACAGTACTAATACACTTGTACAGTACTAATACACTTGTACAGTACTAATACACTTGTACAGTACTAATACACTTGTACAGTACTAATACACTTGTACAGTACTAATACACTTGTACAGTACTAATACACTTGTACAGTACTAATACACTTGTATTGTGGGGTGTGCTGGCTCACTGCCACCTGAAGTTAACCAGACAGGAGTGGGCTGCTCATTTACTCCCTCACAAATATTTATGATCACTTTACATTTGTTGAGATATCTTTTGCAATGTGTTTTCTGAAGCCATCTTGCTGACATTGCTCTATACCATAGGTCAAATCAGTCTGGAAAGTTGTCTGGCCTCCTGGAGACCAGTCAGGATCTGGCTCCCCCCCTTCCTTTTTGCGCTACCACTCACAGGAATGGTATGGGGTGCACAATAAACTAGCTGCCTCTAGTGGCAACAAAAATCATAGGGAGGGGTGAAGGGAGGCAATTCACCAGGGAGGGGTCGGCCGAGCGGACAGCACGCTGGACTTGTGATCCTATAGTCCCGGGTTCGATCCCGGGCGCCGGCGAGAAACAATGGGTAGAGTTTCTTTCACCCTATGCCCCTGTTACCTAGCAGTAAAATAGGTACCTGGGTGTTAGTCAGCTGTCACGGGTTGCTTCCTAGGGGTGGAGGCCTGGTCGAGGACCGGGCCGCAGGGACACTAAAGCCCCGAAATCATCTCAAGATAACCTCAAGAAGATAACCACCTGACCTTACAAAGCCTCCAGAAAGTCAGTGAAGCTTTACAAACAACCGGAGAGTTCACAGCAATTGAAGCCTCAAAACTACCAAACAACTCTGCAAATGATTCACAAAGAACAAGGAATTCACTCAAAGTGGCTCAAGACTCATTACTCCTGATTAACACCAGCAGGCAACCCTGCCTCAGCCCTCAGCTGACTTCCTCATCTCAGTTTTGTTGCTGATGAGGCAACATTTGCATCTGCCTATAGTGTCCTGGTCTATCAGTTGTAGGCAGGCTCCGCCGCTTCAAGCTAAGTGCCGGCCATCTTGGGCTCTGTTGTCCTGCAACAGAGAATTTGCAGGACAACACACATTTGCTTTGTGTATTGTTTGTGTTATATATTGTTTCTGTGGTTTAGTATCAGCTTCACATGAATTTTTTGATCTGGCTTGCCATGAAGGCTTGGCTCTTGCTACATTTCGGGCTGCATGGTCTATTTTTTTTTTCTTGGGTGCCCGCTAACAATGCCCATGCATTTGCCCTAGAGGTCTGGCAACTGCAGTGGAGAGCCTCACCTTGAGCTAATCACCAATATTTGATCCGTCTGTTTGGACCCTTGACTGGGAGTGTTCCTTGGTTGTGATGGGATGCACTGCGGTTTGCATGCTTGTTTACATGGCATGCTGCAAGCATCCCAAGTGCCTGAGTTTTCTGCTTGGTTAGCCACCTTCAGGCCTAGAAATCTCCTGCAGGTCTCTGGCATGGTCCGTTATTGATTGACCTGTCGATTCCATCCTTGCCAAGTGCGAGTGTGATGGGTGCTTATCATAATTGCCACCAATGACCATTCTTTCTGCCCCCACCATGCTGCCTGATAGATGGGTGACAACTGCAACCCTGAGTTCTGTGAGTTGTGTTTTCACTGGGTCTCTGTGCTTACAGATTCTGCTTCCCAATTGGAAGCTTTTCAGCCAGCTGCCACTTTGCAAACTAGGTTTGCTGAGTTAGGCATTCATAGCATATTGATCATCTGGATGCCCCAGAGTTGGCCCCTTGTGGTGTTTAGGGACCCAGAATTGGAGGTGTTGGTGAGCTATACCTGGAGTAAGTTCATGCCATCTCTTCCTTTCCCTGTGAGTGTGATTTGCCTCGCTTCTGGTCTTTCCCTCCCCTGGTTCTGGCTTCAAGGCATCTGAGGGTTTTGGAGCTGGGTCGGGGTTTAGCTCAGGTGTAGCTTGGCCTTCTCCAGGTGTGGTCATCCATGTCGACGGGGAACCAGGTGAGCCTTCAGGTCCCACCAGGGTTTCAAGATTCATCATCAGTTGCAATCATTTTCACAACTGCTACCCCCCCCCCCTCCCTCCCCCACTCACCTTCTCCTTGGAAGGACACCTTCCTGTCTCAGTTATTTATTTATTTATAAATACAAGAGTTCTTACATTCTTGTACAACCACTAGCATGCATAGCATTTCAGGCAAGTCCTTAATCTTAATTTTCACACACACACACACATCCCCAGGAAGCAGCCCGTAGCAGCTGTCTAACTCCCAGGTACCTATTTACTGATAGATGAACAGGCACATCAGGGTGAAAGAAACTCTGCCCATTTGTTTCCGTCTCCGCCAGAGATCGAACCTGGACCCTTAGGACTATGAACCCCGAGCACTGTCGATTCAGTCATCAGGCCCCCCCCCCCCACCCATATTGAACGAGGACTTCTTCTCTGCCCCAGAGCCTTCCAGCCAGCTAACTGCTTGGTCTTCATGGTCTGCCTGGTAGCACCAATCATGTACACAAAGGCAGCCATTTCTCTGACCTAACTTTAGTCCTAGGCTTTGCCTTGTGGTTAATAATCAGTTGATTCATCCTTTTTATGAGCATACATAATTCTTGAAGGATTCAAGTTAATGCAAAGCTGCACTTTCAAGATTCTGGTCAGAAACAAGGCAGGAATACAAAACCAGCATTGCATGTAATGAAACACCAATTTCTGGGTGAGACTTGGTGGCTCCCTGAAGCTACCATTTCCAATGTAGGTGTCATCTACCAGGTGCCATCAGTCACAGAGTTCTCTGGGCCAGGGACCCAGAGCCAGATTCTGGCCCCTCTCACAGAGGGGGAAAGGAGCCATGGCATCTATTCATATTTGCCACCACCGAAGAAAGCACCAAGAAAGTCAGCGAGACAAAACAAACCACAGCTGGCTGCCTCCGAGATTTACAAACTTGAAAAAAGTCAAAGAGCTCCCTGAACTATATAAACAAGTGATCGAAAATTGTATAAACCAGGGCTCACTCAATCGTCTCACCCTCCCCTTTGTTTGGAGCGAGGAGGGGGGGGGGGGGGGGCAGGACATGGCTCACAGGGCACTCCACTATCAGTTCAAATAATGATGTAAGAAACCCAACTCCCTGGGAAAGGGAGGATATCAGGGAGCCACTAGGGCTCACCCAGAAATTGGCACTTCATTACATTTAATGCTGGTTTTCAGGGGTGAGCATCGTGTAGCTCCCTGAAGCTAATTATCCATGGACAAGAGTCAATGCACAAGTGCCAGGGAGGAGGCAGAACCGCCTACACAACAATGAAGAAGAGACACCCGAACATCACAGTGAGCCAAAACCACACAAGGCTGCCAATGCCTGGGCATCACAACAGGAAACAGGGCTGCCCTAAGCCATGATGACTGGAAAAGCCAATGCCCAAACAACAGCTTAGGACAAGGACAAGAGGACTGCCAAGAAAATGGCAACCTTCTGAACCCCACGGGCATGAAGAAAGACCACTGGCTGGCAATTAAAAAATCATTGCAGATGACCAAAAGAGGAAAAAATCTTAGAACAGGGGACTCATGAGACTGGATCAACCTATGAGGCAGTCACTGAGGTAGAACAGATGGTACAAAGGGTGCGGTAGAAGCAACCACCTGACAACAGGTGAAGCACCCCTAACTGAACAAATGAATCCTAAAGACACGAGGACCCCACACAGGGGGCCAACCATCCAAATCTCTGCCAGAAAAGAAGGAGCCAGCAGCAAATGAAGAAATGGCTTAATCGAGCAAAAGGCCAAGAACTGGAGCTAGAGGCTCCAGATCTTGTTCGTTTCTTTGTTGCTGGTTCCCGAGGCTGAAGGTTCGAGAACCAGCAACTAGAAACAAGCTGAACTCGTAGGTAACACCAAAACTGAGTGAATGAGAGAAAAGGAGGCCAAAGACCAAGTAAGCCAAGGCAGTGCAACGCACGCCAGAGAAGAACAACACCCAAAACTGCATGTGAAATGGAGTCAGGGAAATGTTGATCCTGAAAGCAATGAATAAATGTCACAGCTCCCTGTACATCTGTGAGGGGCCTGGCAGATGACACCTACATTGGAGTTGAGATCTTCAAGGAGGCACAAAGGGCTACCCAAAAATAATTACAACTTTGAAGAAAATACTGTACAATAACCTACTTGGCAAAACACTAAAACAACCAAATACTGTAGTGTAATTAAATATTGTATATACTTCATTAATACAGCTGCAGTCAAAGTCAAATTAACAGCCACAAAAAAGTACTGTACATAGAGTTCCAAACAAAATTATCAATTAAATAAGAACCATACATGTCCTACCCTAACACTGGTCCGCCATTCATTAAATCAAATACTTGTGCTGGGTTGAGGAGTTGCTTGAAGCGGCGCAGAAACCTTACACCTTGATTGTCGCCACTTTTGCTGTTAACAAATACTAGAAGTGGTGAGCAGCCCTGAGGTCGGGTCGCTTCCCATGACTCATCCGTCCCTGTCAAAATATTTTATTAATTAGTAGTAGAGGTATTTTCTAAGAAATGGTGCACAATACAATAAAACAATGATTCCCTCTATTCAATGACAGCGTTTTCAACTGCATTATAAATATAGTACTGTACTGCATTAAAAAATTAAGTAATCAATACCATTAAATTTACTGTGTCTATATTTAAAATTGTATTTATAATTACTACTTAAATGATAAAATGAAAAATTAATTTCAAAAATAATAATAAAGATGTGGAGAGCTATACCACGACAGTTTTCTGGACTCAACCGCTTGGTAGCTTCCCTAGCTTGTGGCACTGGCTCACCCAGGGCACTGAAATCATGTTACTCAATGGATGACTTTTCTACCTATGTGAAAAAGGTCCTTTTAAAAACATGCCTTGTCTTAAAACAGTTGGGCTCAGGGAGAGCTGAGATCAATCTCACAACCTAGAATAATCACCAATATGACACACACAAACATTTCAAAACATCTAAATTCCCTCTTGAATGAAGTTTTACAATGATTTGCTAAACAACACTCTGAACAAGCAAAGCACCCACTACCCACCAATATTAGCTGCACCAGGTAATGGCTATACAACTAATATGATTGCAGGAGACAGGAGAGTAAACCAATATGCCATCAGAGCACCCAATAGGCCACGAAGCCTATTGTCTATGAAGAAGCCAGGGAGAATCCCAGAACTGCCATAGAAGCCCCAAGATTACTGCAGAAGCCACACAACTGAGAGAGGTGCCCCCTGGACTATCAGGAGAGCCCCAGGACAGCCAGGGAAACCCCAGGACAAGCCAGGGGGGGAAATCACAGGACTGCTGAGGAGCCCCAGAACTGATAAGGGATCCAAAGACTGCTAGGGAAGCCTAGAACTTCCAAGGGAAGCTTCAGGACTACCAGAGGAAGCCCAGGACTACCAAGGGAACTCCAGGACTGGTGGGGGAAGTCAAAGGACTGACAGAGAAGTCTCTGTTCAACTCAATGAGTTAGACACCTGTTGCAGGTTGCATCTTAGAGAACGTCTTAGGCCTAGGGGGACCTTGATAAGCCTAACGGGCTTCCTTTTTCCAACAATGGGAACCAAAATATTTTGATAACAAAAGCACAGTCACCAGCAGTGCACTCTAATGACAGCGCCAGCTTGAAACCAAGCTTTTGAAATTATAATGTTTGGCAGAAAATCATAGGAGGTACAATATGTAGAACACCTCTACAGTGTTGAGTGTGTGCTGTAGCTGCACTCTCTGCTGTAATTACCTAAGTGTAGTTACAGGATGAGAGCTACGCTCGTAGTGTCCCATCTTCCCAGCACACTTTGTCATATAACGCTTTGAAACTACTGACAGTAGCTGCACGAGGAAGCTATAGCAGTGAGTACAAATTATGAAACATACATATAGATGTTATTCGTGTAGTTGGGCTGTGTACTACACTGGTCAGTGCAAGTGATGATTGTACCCAAGACAGTGAGTGTGGAGGGTGATGGCTCTGATACTAGCAGGTGCAAATGATGGATCATACCTATAGTAGTGAGTGCAGTTGGTGGGACGATGGAGACACGGCAAGGACCTAATGGACAGCGGGTGGGGTGAAGTGGACGACATGCAGTGTGGACCATCGCTCGACACCACAAACATCTCCAGTCTTGTAATCTGTGGTTAGATGAGAGATAATGGATTTATTGAGCATATGTGTATTTAATGTCTATTCTATGCAGCTCAGGAACACCAAGAATTTGTGAAGAAGAAATGAATCCTTCATTCTAATCAATGCTTTATTTCTGGGCTCAGTTCCCTTGGTTAATACCAACACTCCACTGCACAAACTACTACAGAACCTAAAAATTTAAAGCACTTTGTTACGGTTATCTCCAGCATCTTGCATAGTGCTCTATTCCAAATCATGTCACAACTTACTTTCAATTCAACATGGCACCACAATTGCATAAATGATTCAACAAGGCATTACAAAGTAGAAGGGCCAGCTTCCATGAGAGATCAGGTGAACTGGGGAACAGAACATGCGAGTCCCACCACTACCAGGTGGTAAGAGGGAGAAATTCTTGACTGTTTTTTCCCAACTATGTGATAATACCATTTGCAAAGGTACCTGTCATGATGGGGCAAATGTCTAATAGAACCTGGCTTATGAGCAGTGTCCTAGGTGGAACCAGGCTTGGCCAGGAAAACAACTGAGGGGATGCAGCTCATGAAAAAATGCTTGGCATTTCAATGTTGTGATGGCCAGGATACACTTGGGGAAACAAATATCTGGTATATCTGTCAGGCGCCTGACAGCTGGGTGGACAGCGCTTTGGATTCGTAGTCCTGAGGTTCCGGGTTCGATCCCCGGTGGAGACGGAGACAAATGGGCAAAATGTTTCTTTCACCCTGCTGCCCCTGTTACCTAGCAGTAAATAGGTACCTGGGAGTTAGACAGCTGCTATGGGCTGCTTCCTGGAGGGTGTGTAACAAAAAGGAGGCCTGGTCGAGGTCCGGGCCACAGGGATGCTAAGCCCCGAAATCATCTCAAGATAACCTCAAGATATATCTTCCAGGATATCAATGTTTGGCACATCAGGTACAATATAAACCTTAGGAAAGAGACAAATGCAAATTCTTGAACATTATTCTGCAGAATATCATGTACTTTACACACTGATTTCTGACACATTGGGTAAAAATTTCCTTGACTAAATATTACCTAAATATTATCTAAATACTGTACTGTACTGTACTGGAAATGGAACTTTTGATGACATACTTGACTGATAAACAAGATTTACTATACAGTATAGTATAGTAATTGAACTATTGTCGTGCCTCCATACTTCACCAAATTCAACTTTTTTATCTCCACTCAGATAAAAAGTGTGGCTTTTTTTTTTATAAAGCCACTCATTGTGGTTTTTACCATGATACTCCACTCTCATCCATTTCAGCATCTCCCAATACCTCTAACCCCACCCCTCTGCCTCCAACCCTACCCCCTGCCTCCAACCCTCCCCCCTCCCCCCTCCCCCTGCCTCCAAACCCCCCACCCTGCCTCCAACCCACTTGCAGTGTCAGATATAGTCACAATTCAAGTAAAACATGGCTTGGGCCTCTCATTATATGGGGGTCATCCAAATACATCAGAGATAACTAAAGATTTATTAAAATATGTAATAAAAAATTTATGAGAAAATCAGTAGAAGACATGAGGAGGATTTGAACCTATGCACTGGGTACTCCCAGGCAAACGTTCTAGACCACTACACCCCGACATGGTCAAAAGCATTGCAACCTGGTATTCAACTGAATCCTCTAAGGTACCTGAAGCTTACACTGAAGCGTAATCACAGCTTCACACAATGCCTCCATGCCCTCTGTCTTGTAGTCTAGGAATTCTACCTCCTACACTTCCTTTCAAATGCACAAAGAAATCACATTAACATGCTTTTTTTGAAAAACAGCACCATCTGTTGTACGTAAGAGCAACACACGCTATTCTGCATATGTTCCGATTCCATTTCAGTGATTCCAATTTAATTGATAAATTGAATTTTCATAGATTTCGATATATTTTCATTTTGGTTTAATTATTATGTATGACATTGCGTTGGAATGGAGCCGTGTTGTTTACCATTCCGTTCATTTCATGAGTATATATATATTTTTTTTAATCAACACTGTTTGTCAACCTATTGTATTTGTGCTTCTTTTTCAGTCATGTTCCCCCCCTTTTTTTTATCTTTATTTGTATTTGTTCTCAACACTTTTTATTCTTTATGCTCAATTAGTATTAAGTTCTAGATATTAATGTTTTTCTTGCCCGAAACGCATTGCGTAATAGTGGCTTTAGGCATTGTATGTACTAGCTCTATCTATATATCAATCCATTAATGTAACATCACTTGTATGTATGTACCTTACCTGAATAAACATATTTATTTATTTATTTATTTATTTTAACATGATGTATCAATGAGAAAATCAGTAGGAAAGATGAGGAGGATATGACTCTATGCACTGCATTTGACTGGGAGTATCCAGTGCATAGGTTCAAATCCTCCTCATGGCTCCTACTGATTTTCACATCGATACATCACATTAATGTGATTTCTTTGTGCAAAAGAATTTAATATTGCAAATAAGAATTCTTGAGATGTGTGTAATATTTACCTGTACATTATTCACTGCATCTTTGCCTATGTGATATTGATTCCTTTACTGGAACTAATTATTATTATTATTATGTAATACACTTTTGAATCAATATTTATGGGTTTGTGGCTTTTCAATCATGCCATAGGCTTGAGCATGTCTTAATGTAGCCTTCACACCTGTCTGTCTTTGAAACTCCTGCCCCTCTAGTACTAGGCCTTCCCTTCACTCATGTCCACTTGTGCCCACTGAAAAGTCATAGATACTAGGCAATATTGTAATTTTGTGAATCTAGTGTATCTGTTCTTTAAGCCTATCAATAGTCTACAGATGAAAAAGTATATATACATGTGACCGAATGCTAAATATAACCTACCACACTATGCAGTGGGACAGTTTTCTAACACTGTCCAAAGTGGATGGGCAAAACTGTTTACTGTATATTCTATGTGCCATAATTACTCAAATTACTGATTGACCCCTTTGGTAGAAAATTAACCAGTTAAACAATATATTTATGTTATCAGTCACTCAACTGATTAGGTAGGGGGTGAGGATCACCTGAATTGAATTGAGGGCCACTAACACTCTAGTGGCCTCGACAAGGACAGGAAGCTGACGGCTTGTCAAAGGTCCCTCCCCCCCTAATTGTCATGATAATTTTTTCAAGCTGGATTTTAACATTTAAGTGTTGCAACATTTATGGCTTCAGCAGGTAGGCACCCATGGGTTAATAACCCTGTGGGTGAAAAAGCACCTCCTGTTTTCAGTCCTACATTGTGGATTGTTGAGCTTGAAACCGTTGCTCCTTGTTTGTGTTAAATTTGACCCTTTGAAGAAGTTGTCTGGATCAATATCTTCCAAATTGTTAAATATTTTAAAAGTTTCGATGAGATCAGCCCTGCCATGTCTGGTTTGCTGTGCTGTTAACCCTGTGGCCCTCAACCATTTCTGGTGTGAGTCAACTTAGTTCTTGAACATGTATGAACATGTATGATCAAGAACTAAGTTGTATGAACAACTTAGTTCTTGATCATGTGTGAAGAGAGTGGAATATTCTCTCACCCACCTTTGGATATATGCAAAGCCTTCCTCACATATATAAGACTAGAGTACTACCCTCCTGAAGTGTCTGATAACATCAAACAACCACTACAAGGCCTTTTCCCCTATATAAACCTGTAGGTAGAACACATGGTACAAGGCAGTGACATACGTCCCAACACCTACCTGAGAACAGAGCCACACGTCTTTTCACACACGGCACATTTGGCAGATACAGGCAAGTTCCCTTCCAACCACTGATGAGGCATTGCCAGGTTCTGTATCAGTATAAAATATATCCTGTAATTGTTCAATGATGACAATGATGATGATAAAATCCGTAGGAGCCATGATGAGGATTCAAACCCTCATCACAGCTCTTACGGATTTTCTCATTGATGCAGTCACGTTAGTGTCATTACTCTCTGAATAATAATAATAATAATAATAATAATAATAATAATAATAATAATAATAATAAAAATAATGATAATAATAAAAATAATAATAATTTTAAAAAATATACAGAAGAACACGGTACAGTGGTTGACTAGTCATTACATAAAATGCATATTTAATGAAGCCACTAATGAGCAAAGCATTTTGAGTGTAACTTCAAATTATTCAGTTCTGGTATATTGTTGATAGATTTAATGCAGTAGATATCTAATATTAAACAAAAACATATGAATTCTTAAATAAATTAGCAAATGACATACATGATTTAGATGATACTTAATTTTAATGGTGAAAGGCACAGAGTATTTAGTATTTATAATTTACAATAACAGCAAAATACAAAAATGTTATATTTTGGATGTTGAAATGCAAGTGAAATTTTTGTACGTGATGTTAAGATATGTCTTAGTTTCTCTATGTTAAGGAAATATAGAACAACAAACAAAGTAAATTAAAAAGATTATGATAATGTGGCAACAAGATCATCAAATTTTGTATGTTACAGTGCTACCTAAGCTTACATAATGTATACGTCATGAAGACACTGTATAAATATAATTTTGTCTGCAACGAGTTGTTTATCAGGGAACACATAAAGGTTCCCCGTTTAATAGAGAACACCAAAGGTTTATCAAAGAGCCAAAGCTCAACCCCCACAAGCACAACTAGGTGAGTACATCTGAAGTTTTCCACGAGCCATTTCTTCATCGCCGTCAGTCATTATTTTCCATTTAGTTGACAATAGATGAGAAGAAAACAGCTGAAGAAATTACGTTCACAATGTAGGGAAACAAAGTTTAAAAATACTTAAAAATCAAGTATTGAATGTAATGAAACACCCTATTCAGGTGGGGCCCTTAGAGAGGTATACCAGGCCTTTGAGACCCAATCATGCCTACCAAGAATCAGAACTGTAACATGGCTCACTCTCTCTCAGGTGAACTTAGAGATCAAAGAAGACCCTAAAGCCAAGAAAAAACCACCATAAAACATAAGCACAATAAAACAAGCCATTGCTTGAAGAAAAGTAGATGCCTTAGGTAACAAGGCAAATGATTGTTGCCATGGTGTAAACACCATAACCATGATGAACCTGACCCCCCCACAGTCAGGTCAGCAAGACAGCTCCCAACACCTGAAAACTCAAAGTAAACCAACTCAGTAAATGCTGAACACATTACCCAGGAACCATTGGGCACCATACCTAGGATGCCCTCAACACCCAGCTTGGGAACAATGCAGGACATAACCCAGATACCCCAAGCCCAATAAATGTAGAAACATTGACCGGTAAAGACCGAGCACACTGTCTGGACTGAGCCGAGCCCAGCTGCCTGGATGCAAGAGATCCAAAGGCATTCAGACAATAATATTGTCTAATGCCTGGCATCACTATATAGGCAGCATTCAGAAAGAAATGATTGAGTGAGTAGTGGCATACTGCCATACAACCTATAATCATTCATATATAGAATGAGGGCAATTCAGACACTGTGTGATCTAAACAATATACTGTAAATAATAAAGATAATGAAGAACTATTAGGATACAATTATCTGAATCTGAAATATAATTATCTCATGTCTAAACATAGCTTGAGAAATTTCCTGCCCAGCTTGGGAAATCTGTTTTCATGACTGCATTTTGGGTTGTGATAATGAAATGGGCCTTTCAGAAATTTTTTTGTGTATCCCTCTAAAATAAAATTATCCTTTCAAAAACTGTCATTAATATACTGCACTGTATTGGTTTTTAAACTTAATTGGGGATGGGACAGAACTTGTTTTTTCTAACTCCCATAGAATGATTGGAAGTAAGTAGATTCTTCCATTTTGCTACATAAAATAACAAAATACTCACTCCTTCTTCATCTTCAATAATATCCTTTCCAACAGAGGCGAGGGTTGTCCACTTGCAGTTATTGAGTGCTTTAGCTGCACAACGCTTGTGAGCCTTCAGCTTACACACTTCACAACTCAGCCCATGTGATGTTACTCCTGTTGCAAGACCAAAAAAGCTACTGCATTTTTATTATGAGCAACAACAATATTTTTGCATCTTTACTTAATACTATTTATCTTCTCTGACCATCACTAAACGTGTGCAATGAGAGGAAACAAATTCTTTTACAATACTAGAGCACTTTTCCTCTTTTCTACAGTACCTTAAATGATTAAGCTTTGCTAAAAGGCATCTAAACTTGTTTACCTCTAGATGAAGTATTTGACAAAGGCACTGCACCAAACGTACCTGAGAGGGCCTCCCGGCACACGTTGCAGTAGGTGGGCCGGGCATGAGACGTGGCATACCAGTTGTGTTGGCCGGACAGTAGAGAGTGAACCTGATCTGCTCCCTGTGGACAGAAAACAAAGTGTAATAATTGAAATATAATAAAATAGGCTTTAAAACCAACAGTTGAGTAAACCGTTTCACTGACAAATAGTAAATCTGAGTACTGTACTGTATACCTATTGATACCTGTCAATGATTCCGAGAATCAACGTCACCACGCAACCTGATATACTGTTTGTCCATAATGCTTATTTAGAGGGGCTTATAATGCACAAAATATAATTCTTAACACCCTGGGACTAGTAAGGTTTTAATGCCAACATGATGTGTGCAACCAATGTCAGTCAAGCCTTATTTAGCAACAGTAAGTGCTCTTCAGATATATATACATATATATTATCTCTGTGGTATATGCCCATATGTACCATCATTCTTTGTACAAATTTAATCTTTAATAATATATTATGAAGGTTACATAAATGATAAAAATACAGAAGTCAAACACATACAGTAATTTCTAGGAACCGTAGAGATGATCAAGATACAGCTATGCCTTAATTAAGCTATTTCTTACAAAAGATAGATTACTATCTACTATCTTATAAACCACAAATCTATGAATATCTATACATAAAAAAATAAAATGTGTGGCTGTCCAAAATTGAAGGTCATATACTTGGGGCTAGCCTCATTAAATATCCAGTGTGATTGGTAGTGTGAGAAGACTATCATAGGCTGGTCAAGGTAGGCCTTTAAGGGGGAATTGGCACCCTATTGCATCCTTCATAAAGTTGAATATGAAATGTTCAGTGCAGAGTCTATAGAGTTTTAAAAAATTTTCAGGTATTTCAGAGTTCTGATACTGGGATGAAAAAGGACTCTTGGTAGTACAGTGGTTATGTTCTCAACTCACAACTGAGGATCCGGGGGTTGAATCCTCCACAGGACAAAAATGGTTGGGTGTGTTTCCTTTCATTTGATGCCTCTGTTCAACTAGCAATATACTGTATAGGTACCCAGGAGTGCATCAGTGGAAGATCTGTAGTTCAAGCTTGAGGGAACCACAATACAAGCCTAAATAATATATACATACATATACACACTGCCTTCCTGTCCCCAACAAAGCTAATTAAAGTGTGTATTTTTATGGCAGATTTGCATAGTGTGGGGCTCACAAAACTTAAATGGTGCAAATGCAGGCGATGAGTCACAATAACGTGGCTAAAGTATGTTGACCAGACCACACACTAGAAGGTGAAGAGATGACGACGTTTCGGTCCGTCCTGGACCATTCTCAAGTCGATTGTGAATGGTCCAGGACGGACCGAAACGTTGTCGTCCCTTCACCTTCTAGTGTGTGGTCTGGTCAACTTAAATGGTGCAACCTTCAGGTGTGGCCCAGGGCACCACAAGAAACTCAATCTAGTATGTAATAATCTTCTGGTATATTTTCATTTACTGGTTACAAAATTCTTAATGTATATAACTCTAAAAGTTCAGAATGGTTTATAGTTTCATAATATTCAGACATCTGGATTAGAACTTAATTGACAAACACTATTTAAGCTATTATTAGAATGTCATACATACTGACACCCTCAGAACACTGGTGTTACATTACCTGTAGCATACCTGGAAGGGGTTCTGGGAGTTCTCCCAAGCCCGGCCTGAGGCCAAGCTTGACTTGTGATAACTTGGTCCAACAGGCTATTGCTTGGAGCGGCCCACAGGCCCACATATCCACAACAGCCCGGTGGATCCAGCACTTCTTGCAAGAACTTATCTAAGTGCCTCTTGAATACATCCACCTTTGTTCTGGCAATATTTATAATGCTTGCTGGGAGGGGGTTGAACAGCTGTGGACCTCTGATGTTCAGACAATGCTCTCTGATTGTGCCTATGGCACCTCTACTCTTCACTGGTTCTATTCTGCATTTCCTTCCATATTTTTTGATGCAGTATGTTGTTATTCTACTGTGCAAATTTGGGACCTGGCCTTCAAGTATCTTCCATACAGTATATATATATTACAGTACGTATTTAATATCTTTCTCGTCTCCTTTCCAAAGATTACATTTTGAGAGCGTTGAGATGATCCCAATAATTTAAAAGTTTTATCGTTTGTATGCATGCCGTATATGTTCGCATAGAAACGATAAAACATCTAAATTATTAGGACGGTCTCAAAGCTCTCAAATACCACTCTCTCACTGAGTAGTACTCATAATAGTTCACAACATACTGGGAGTGTTGTACCTCACAACATACTGGGAGTGTGGTACCTCACAACATACTGGGAGTGTGGTACCTCACAACATACTGGGAGTGTGGTACCTCACAACATACTGAGAGTGTGGTGGAGTGGTACCTCATAATAATGTGTAGTAGTGGTGGCAGACTTGAGGGCAGCTATCCACTCCTCCATCTCGCGGCGGGTGTCAGCAGCCAGCACCAGGCTCCGGAATGGTGAGATACACTGCAATACAAACATCCCCATTATTATGTATCTCTTCACAACACACTGCAGTTCACACAAATGAAAAAAATATGGCCGTAATCAGAGGCAATGTATCGGATTGGAGGACTGTCACAAGCGGAGTAGTACCACAGGGTTCAGTTCTTGCACTGGTAATGTTCATTGTCTACATAAAGATCTACTAGTTGGAATACAGAATTATATGAACATGTTTGCTGATGATGCTAAGGTAATAGGGAAGAAAAGAAACTTAGATGATTGTCATGCCCTTCAAGAAGACCTGGACAAAATAAGTATATGAAGCACCACTTGGCAAATGGAATTTAATGTGAATAAATGCCCTGTTATGGAATGTGGAATTGGAGAACATAGACCCCACACAACCTATAAATTATGTGAGAAATTTTTAAAGAATTCTGACAAAGAAAGAGATCTAAAGTTGGTTCTAGATAGAAAACTGTCATCTGAGGACCACATTAAGAACATTGTGTGAGGAGCCTATGCTACACTTTCTAACCTCAAAATTGCTTTTAAATACATGGATGGAGAAATACTAAAGAAACTGCTCACGACTTTTGTTAGACCAAAGCTGGAATATGCAGCAGTTGTGTGGTGCCCATATCTTAAGAAGCACATTAACAAACTGGAAAAGATGCAAAGACATGCCACTAAGAGACTCCCAGAACCGAAGAACAATAGCTACGAGAAGAGGTTAGAGGCATTAAATATGCAAAAACTAGGAGATATAATAAAAATAGGCTATATGATTACTACGTACAAAATAGTAACATGAATCGATAAAATTGATAGGGAAGAATTCCTGAGACCTAGAATTTCAAGAACAAGAGGTCATAGATTTAAACTAACGAAATAAAGCTGCTGGAGAAATATAAGAAAATTCACTTTCGTAAACAAAGTGGTAGACGGTTGGAACAAGTTAGGTGAGAAGGTGGTGGAGGCCAAAACCGTCAGTAATTTAAAAGCATTATATGACTGGGTGCTGGGGAGACGGGACACCATGAGCAAAGCTCTCATCCTGTAACTACACTTAGGTAATTACACATGCACACACAGTGTGGTACCCCCCCCCCTTGTTCTCAGACCATGCCCCCTCCCCTGTTACCTGACCCCAGGCCCCTCATGCCCTTTTTCTTCCCCAACCCCTACCCCAGGTCCTCCCTGTTCCCGCACCCCATGCCCTCCCCTGTTTCTCCAGCCCATGCCCTTCCCAGTTGCCCCACCCCAAGCTCTCCTTCCTACCCCAAAGCACCCCCTCCCCAGGCTTCCCTCCCATCCCAAACCTTTGGCCTCCCTGCCAATCCGCCCCAGTCTCCCCTGCATACCCCAACCCGTGACCTCCCACCACATGCCCCTTCTGCTGCCCGACTGTTATATATCCGACAATGATATATAACCCACTGCTACTACCACCAAATGAAAGAAGACTCAGGCAAGAGTATGAGAGAAACAACATGGCAGTTAACACTATAATTGAGCGAGCAGCCGCTGCTGCCTGTAGAAATCGATCCCATCGGCTCATAATGGGGGACTTTAATCATGGAACGATAGACTGGGAAAACAAGGAACACATGGAAGTGAGGAAACATGGAGAGCAAAACTGTTGGAGGTGGCGACTAGAAACTTTTTAAGTTAGCATGTCAAGGGTCCCACGAGAATGAGAGGCAATGATGAACCAGCAAGACTCGACCAAGCATTCACTCTGAACGATTCAGACATAAGGGAAATCAGTCTCAAAGTCCCCGTGGATATAAGTGAACACAGTGTACTATTTGAGTGTCTGGTCGAAGAAGGGTTAATGTACTCAAGGAAGGGACCAGAAAGCAAGAGGCTGGCATTCCGGAAGGGAAACTATCAGTCGATAAGAAAATTCCTAACTGATATAGCTTGGGTAACAGAGCTCAGAGGAAAGACAGTTCAAGACACGATGGACTACATCACACAGAAGTGTAAGGAGGCAGCAGACAAGTTCGTCCCAGTCCTAAAGGAAAAAATTGAAATGCAGATGAGAAACCCATGGTTTAATCAGAGATGTAACCAGAGCGCGACACCATTGTCTCCTGAGACTGATGGCTGCCTACTACTAAGCTAGCAAAGCAACTAAGTAAAAGGGTGTGGAGAAACTATAGAAACAACAGAACACTAGAGAGCAGAAAAAGATACCACAATGGCAGGAATGAATACGTCAGGGAGAAGAGAGTTAGAGAGACAATATGAAAATGACATAGCGAGCAAGGCAAAGATTCAACTGCTGCATAGCCACATCAGGAGGAAAATAACAGTAAAGGAACAGGTAATGAAACTGAGGATTGGGGCAGAAAGATTCACTACAAACAACAAGGAAGTGTGGGAGGAACTCAATAAGAAATTCCAAGAAGTCTTCACCTCAGAGCAAGGAGAAGTCCCAGAGATAAGAGAGGGAATATCAAACCAAACACCACTAGAGAGGTTTGTGATTACTAGTGGGGAGGTGAGGAAGCATCTGATAGATTTGGATGTGACAAAGGCTATAGGCCCGGATGGAATCTCACCATGAATTCTAACGGAACTAGCAGAAGCTTTGTGCCTGCCACTCTCCATGGTGTACAACAAATCACTGGTAACAGGTGAACTGCCAAAAATTTGGAAGACGGCCTATGTAGTCCCAATATACAAGAAGGGTGATAGGCATGAGGCACTGAACTACAGGCCAGTGTCCCTAACTTGCATTCCATGCAAGATGATGGAGAAGATTAAAATAAAATAAAATAAAATGTTTATTTAGGTAAGGTACGGGGCCTCGTAGCCTGGTGGATAGCGCGCAGGACTCGTAATTCTGTGGCGCGGGTTCGATTCCCGCACGAGGCAGAAACAAATGGGCAAAGTTTCTTTCACCCTGAATGTCCCTGTTACCTAGCAGTAAATAGGTACCTGGGAGTTAGTCAGCTGTCACGGGCTGCTTCCTGGGGGTGGAGGCCTGGTCGAGGACCGGGCCGCGGGGACACTAAAGCCCCGAAATCATCTCAAGATAACCTCAAGAAGGTACATACATACAATAAATTTTTACAAAGATTGGTTGACTTATAGGTAGAGCTAGTACATACAATGCCTAAAGCCACTATTACGCAAAGCGTTTCGGGCATGATAAACTTAAATGACAAGCTTAATACTAATTGAGCATAATGAGTAGAATGAAAACAAGAAATGAAAACATAGATGAAAAAGCAGCACAAATACAATTATGTCGACAAACAGCGCTCTTTAAAAAAAAACAGACATTGGTTGACAATAGAAGGGTAAGGTAGGTTACAGGGAATTTATTAGGTATAGCTTCGTTTTAAACTTAAACTGGTTGAGAGAGGTACAGTCTTTAACCGAGTACAAAGTACAGGTTGTGCGAAAAAAGCTAGTAGAACATCTGGAGAGAAAGAACTTTGTAACCCAACATCAGTATGGGTTCAGAGATGGCAAATCATGCCTAACTGGTTTAATTCTTGAGGTTATCTTGAGATGATTTCTGGGCTTAGCGTCCCACGGCCCGGTCCTCGACCAGGCCTACTTTTTGTTACACACCTCCCCAGGAAGCAGCCGGTAGCAGCTGTCTAACTTCCAGGTACCTATTTACTGCTAGGTAAACAGGGACATCAGGGTGAAAGAAACATTTTGCCCATTTGTCTCCGCCTCTATGTTTCACCTGTTACCAGTGATTTGTAGACCCGGAACCTTGGGTCTACAAATCCGAAGCGCTGGGGGGGGGGGGCTGGGCAGACTGCATATTTCTGGACTGCCAGAAAGCCCTTGACACAGTACCACGTAAGAGACTAGTACACAAACTCTAGATGCAGGCAGGAGTGAAAGGAAAGGTACTCCACTGGATAAGAGAGTACCTAAGCAATAGAACACGGCGAGTCACTGTGAAGGGTGAGGTCTCGGAGTGGCGGGGAGTCACCACCGGTCCAAAGACTGATCCCACAGGGATCAGTCCTTGGACCTATGCTGTTTCTGATATACGTAAATGATCTCCCAAAAGGAATTGACTTGTTCCTCTCAATGTTTGCTGATGATGCAAAAATTATGAGAAGGATCAAGACAGAGGACGATAGTATGAGGGTACAAGATGACCTAGGCAAACTGAAGGAATGGTCCAACAAATGGTTATTAAAGTTCAACCCAAGTAAATGTAAGATAATGAAACTAGGACGAGGAACTAGGAGGCCAGACACTGGATACCGAATGGGAGATGAAGTCCTGAACGTAACGGACAGAGAGAAAGATCTAGGAGTTGATATCGCACCAAGCCTGTCTCCTGAAGCCCACATCAAAAGAATAACATCAGCGGCCTATGCGAGGCTGGCTAACATCAGAACTGCTTTCAGAAACCTGTGTAAAGAATCCTTCAGAACTTTGTATACCACATATGTAAGACCAATCCTAGAGTATGCAGCCGCAGCATGGAGCCCGTACCCAGTCAAGCACAAGACAAAGCTGGAAAAAGTTTAGAGGTATGTCACTAGGCTAGTCCCAGAACTAAGAGGCATGAGTTATGAGAACTGGCTGCGTGAACTGCACCTCGCGTCGCTGGAAGACAGAAGCGTTTGGGGAGACATGATCACCACATACAAAATTTTCAGGGGAATTGACAGGGTAGACAAGGATGGATTATTTAACACGGGTGGTACACGCACAAGGGGACACAGGTCGAAGCCGAGTACCCAAATGAGCCACAGAGACACTAAAAAGAACTTTTTCAGTGTCAGAGTAGTTAGTAAATGGAATGCACTAGGAAGTGATGTGGTGGAGGCTGACTCCATACACAGTTTCAAATGTAGATATGACAGAGCCCAGTATGCTCAGGAATTTGCACATCAGTTGAATGACGATTGAGAGGCGGGACCAAAGAGCCAAAGCTCAACCCCCGCAAGCACAACTTGCGGGAAGCAGCCCGTAACAGCTATCTAACTCCCAGGTACCAATTTACTGCTAGGTAACATAGGGGCATCAGGGTGAAAGAAACTGACCATTTATTTTCCCCCATCGCCGAGGATCGAACCCGGAGCCTAGGATTACGAGGTCGTACGTGTGCTTGTAATTACCTAAGTGTAATTACCTAAGTGTAGTTACAGGATGAGAGCTACGCTCGTGGTGTCCCGTCTTCCCAGCACTCTTTGTCATATAACGCTTTGAAACTACTGACGGTCTTGGCCTCCGCCACCTTCTCACCTAACTTGTTCCAACCGTCTACTTGTGCGTGCTTGTGCGTGTGCGTGTGCATGTGCGTGCGTGCGTGTGGGGGGGGGGGGTACGCGTGTAGAGGAGTTCTTGGGTCGTGTTGGCCTTGTAGGGGCAAGACACTGGACTTTACGCTTTACACAGCAGCAGAAAGGAGACGTAGGAAATACCAACCAGCTAACCTTCACTTGTCTAGTGTTATCCTATTATGCAACTATCCTTCCGGTCTCCAGTTATATTTCCAGCCTCCAGCTACACTCCCAGCCACCAGCTACACTCCCAGCCTCCAGCTACACTCCCAGCCACCAGCTACACTCCCAGCCTCCAGCTACACTCCCAGCCACCAGCTATACTCCCAGCCTCCAGCTACACTCCCAGCCACCAGCTATACTCCCAGCCTCCAGCTACACTCCCAGCCACCAGCTATACTCCCAGCCTCCAGCTATACTCCCAGCCTCCAGCTATACTCCCAGCCACCAGCTACACTCCCAGCCTCCAGCTATACTCCCAGCCTCCAGCTATACTCCCAGCCACCAGCTATACTCCCAGCCACCAGCTACACTCCCAGCCTCCAGCTATACTCCCAGCCACCAGCTATACTCCCAGCCTCCAGCTATAATCCCAGCCACCAGCTACACTCCCAGCCTCTAGCTATACTCCCAGCCTCCAGCTATACTCCCAGCCACCAGCTATACTCCCAGCCTCCAGCTACACTCCCAGCCACCAGCTATACTCCCAGCCTCCAGCTACACTCCCAGCCACCAGCTATACTCCCAGCCTCCAGCTACACTCCCAGCCACCAGCTATACTCCCAGCCTCCAGCTATACTCCCAGCCTCCAGCTATACTCCCAGCCACCAGCTACACTCCCAGCCTCCAGCTATACTCCCAGCCTCCAGCTATACTCCCAGCCACCAGCTATACTCCCAGCCACCAGCTACACTCCCAGCCTCCAGCTATACTCCCAGCCACCAGCTATACTCCCAGCCTCCAGCTATAATCCCAGCCACCAGCTACACTCCCAGCCTCCAGCTATACTCCCAGCCTCCAGCTATACTCCCAGCCACCAGCTATACTCCCAGCCACCAGCTACACTCCCAGCCACCAGCTACACTCCCAGCCTCCAGCTATACTCCCAGCCTCCAGCTATACTCCCAGCCACCAGCTACACTCCCAGCCTCCAGCTATACTCCCAGCCACCAGCTATACTCCCAGCCACCAGCTACACTCCCAGCCACCAGCTACACTCCCAGCCTCCAGCTATACTCCCAGCCTCCAGCTATACTCCCAGCCACCAGCTACACTCCCAGCCTCCAGCTATACTCCCAGCCTCCAGCTATACTCCCAGCCACCAGCTATACTCCCAGCCTCCAGCTATACTCCCAGCCACCAGCTACACTCCCAGCCTCCAGCTACACTCCCAGCCTCCAGCTACACTCCCAGCCACCAGCTACACTCCCAGCCTCCAGCTATACTCCCAGCCACCAGCTACACTCCCAGCCTCCAGCTATACTCCCAGCCTCCAGCTATACTCCCAGCCACCAGCTATACTCCCAGCCTCCAGCTATACTCCCAGCCACCAGCTACACTCCCAGCCTCCAGCTACACTCCCAGCCTCCAGCTACACTCCCAGCCACCAGCTACACTCCCAGCCACCAGCTACACTCCCAGCCTCCAGCTACACTCCCAGCCTCCAGCTACACTCCCAGCCACCAGCTACACTCCCAGCCTCCAGCTACACTCCCAGCCACCAGCTACACTCCCAGCCACCAGCTACACTCCCAGCCACCAGCTACACTCCCAGCCACCAGCTACACTCCCAGCCTCCAGCTACACTCCCAGCCTCCAGCTACACTCCCAGCCTCCAGCTACACTTCCAGCCTCCAGCTACACTCCCAGCCACCAGCTACACTCCCAGCCTCCAGCTACACTCCCAGCCACCAGCTACACTCCCAGCCTCCAGCTACACTCCCAGCCACCAGCTACACTCCCACCCACCAGCTACACTCCCAGCCACCAGCAGCAGCAACACCACCACCACCACTACCACTACTACCACCACCAGCAGCAGGAGACTCACCTGGAAGCTGTGGTTGACGTTCTTGGTGCTACACTCGGCTACACTGAGATCCGTCAGGTGGATCTCGTCAAATATCACACTCTGCAACGGGAACATTCCATGAGCATCAATAACAACATCCTGGCAACACATCTCACAACCCCTCAACACCTTCTCCCTCACCAACACTTGACAACAGTTATTACAATGTTACCTCTTTATTAAATATGAGGGAGGGACAGACTGGGAGGCCTGGTACTGGGAGGCCTGGTACTGGGAGGGCTGGTACTGGGAGGGTTGGTACTGGGAGGGTTGGTACTGGGAGGGTTGGTACTGGGAGGGCTGGTACTGGGAGGGCTGGTACTGGGAGGGTTGGTATTGGGAGGGCTGGTACTGGGAGGGTTGGAGTTGGAGGGTTGGTACTGAGAGGGCTGGTACTGGGAGGGCTGGTACTGGCATGGCTGGTACTGGGAGGGTTGGTACTGGGAGGGCTGGTACTGGGAGGGTTGGAGTTGGAGGATTGGTACTGGGAGGGCTGGTACTGGTAGGGCTGGTACTGGCATGGCTGGTACTGGGAGGATTGGTACTGGGAGGACTGGTACTGGCATGGCTGGTACTGGGAGGGCTGGTACTGGGAGGGCTGGTACTGGCATGGCTGGTACTGGGAGGGCTGGTACTGGCATGGCTGGTACTGGCATGGCTGGTACTGGGAGGGCTGGTACTGGCATGGCTGGTACTGGGAGGATTGGTACTGGGAGGACTGGTACTGGCATGGCTGGTACTGGCATGACTGGTACTGGCATGGCTGGTACTGGCATGGCTGGTACTGGGAGGGCTGGAGTAGGAGAGCCAGTACCAGGATATCCCGCAACAAGAGCCATCAGTAAAGTGGCGGGAGGTATGATACACTAGGCTGGGCGCCCCTCCGACTCTTCCTCCGTCACACACACCTACGTATTAGGATGGACAACCCGGGGGTGTTACTCTCACTTGGTACACAGGGCCACACTGCCTGCTCCTGCCCGAGGCCCACCTTGGTAAGGGACACAAATAATAGTAGTAGTAGTAGGTTACCCTGCGGTTACCTTGATTTCGGGGCTCAACGTCCCCGCGGCCCGGTCGTTGACCCGACTTACTCGTTGCTGGACTGGTCAAAAAAGGTTGTTAGACGCGGCTGCTCGCAGCCTGACGTATGAATCACTAACTGGTTGATCAGGTATCCTTTGGAGGTGTTTAAGGAGTTCTCTCTTGAACACTGTGAGGGGTCGGCCAGTTATGTCCCTTATGTGTAGTGGAAGCGTGTTGAACAGTCTCGGGCCTCTGATGTTGATAGTTCTCTCTTGAACACTGTGAGGGGTCGGCCAGTTATGTCCCTTATGTGTAGTGGAAGCGTGTTGAACAGTCTCGGGCCTCTGATGTTGATAGTTCTCTCTTGAACACTGTGAGGGGTCGGCCAGTTATGTCCCTTATGTGTAGTGGAAGCGTGTTGAACAGTCTCGGGCCTCTGATGTTGACAGTTCTCTCTTGAACACTGTGAGGGGTCTGCCAGTTATGTCCCTTATGTGTAGTGGAAGCGTGTTGAACAGTCTCGGGCCTCTGATGTTGATAGTTCTCTCTTGAACACTGTGAGGGGTCGGCCAGTTATGTCCCTTATGTGTAGTGGAAGCGTGTTGAACAGTCTCGGGCCTCTGATGTTGATAGTTCTCTCTTGAACACTGTGAGGGGTCGGCCAGTTATGTCCCTTATGTGTAGTGGAAGCGTGTTGAACAGTCTCGGGCCTCTGATGTTGATAGTTCTCTCTTGAACACTGTGAGGGGTCTGCTAGTTATGTCCCTTATGTGTAGTGGAAGCGTGTTGAACAGTCTCGGGCCTCTGATGTTGATAGTTCTCTCTTGAACACTGTGAGGGGTCTGCCAGTTATGTCCCTTATGTGTAGTGGAAGCGTGTTGAACAGTCTCGGGCCTCTGATGTTGATAGATTCTCTCTCAGAGTATCTATTGCACCTTTGCTCTTCAACGGGGGTATTCTGCACATCCTGCCATGCCTTCTGGTCTCATGTAATGTTATTTCTGTGTGCAGGTTTGGGACCAGCCCCTCTAATATTTTCCATATGTATCTCTCCCGCCTGCGCTCAAGAGAATACAGATTTAGGCATTTTAGTCGGTCCCAATAGTTTAGATGTTTTACGGAGTGAATTCTAGCAGTAAAGGATCGCTGTACGCTCTCCAGGTCAGCAATTTCTCCAGCTTTGAAAGGGGCTGTCATTGTGCAGCAGTACTCTACTCTAGAGAGCACTAGCGTTTTGAAGAGTATCATCATCGGTACAGCATCTCTAGTGTGAAAAGTTCTTGTTATCCAACCTGTCATTTTGCTTGTAGTTGTGACGGCTACTTTATTGTGTTCTTTAAATGTAAGATCTTCCGACATGAGTACACCCAAATAATAATAATAATAATAATAATACTAGCCAGGTATTGTTGGGCGCCGACACTTGGCGTCTCATGGTGTGGTATAGTGCATCAATGGTTGGAGGGAAATGCCTGAGCTACGGTGACCCTGAGTATTGTACGGTGATGTGCATCACTAAGTTGACAACTAACCCGAGATGTGTTAATGACAATTACAGAACAGCTGCCCCCTTTTACACGTGTTTCCAAACATGGGCAATCTTAGAGGTAAAACACGTGTTCCTGGGATAATTTGGTTCCAGATATTGATGAAATATGCTAAAAATCAACATTCTAAATCATCTCTGAACAAACACATTGTAATTACAATACAATACAATACAATTTTATTTAGGTAAGGTACATACATACAATAAATATTTACAAGGATTGTTTAACTTATAGGTATAGCTAGTACATACAATGCCTAAAGCCACTATTACGCAAAGCGTTTCGGGCATGATAAACTTAAATGACAAGCTTAATACTAATTGAGCATAATGAGTAGAATGAAAACAAGAAATGAAAACATTTGAAGTATGAAGCATTTGAAGAAATTGAAGTACTTGTAGCTAACACCTTCAGGTACTTTACTAATACAAGGAGAAAATAGGTCTCGGAAAATATATAAATTGTTCTCGAGGTATTAGAGACAAATTTAGGTATTAGAGCAGCGTCTTGGATGATCTCTGACGCAGGTTCGAATCCTCGTCACGGCCCTTGTGGATATGGGCAAAGTAACATAGGCAAGAGCCAAAGCCTATATCGAACCGCCTTCCCGCCAAGGCCGTGTAAAAATGACAAGACGGAGTTCGATCGAACTCTGAAAGAATGTCCTGACCCCGACGAGGCCACTAGAGATGATGGTGGCCCTCGGGTATATCCAGGCAAGTTACACACCGGCAGATCGTCCACTTTAGGAAAAGCCTGGGCGGAGTAGCGAGGATCAAGCTCCCACCAGGACAATGACACGATCATGCCCCTGCAGGGAAGGGAAGCTAACTACCAGGGCAAAGCGCCATCACGACTATATAGCACTTGGAAGGGAAGAGGATGAGGCTTTGCCCCTGGAGGGAATAATGTCCCTGCACAGCTGCCGCGTATGTGCAGCGGGAGTGGCTGATAAACAAAGGTAATAAGGCCAGCTGGATTAATGCAATTAAAGTGA